AGAGAGAGACAGAGAGAAAGGTCTTCCTTTTCCGTTGGTTCACCCTCCAATGGCTGCTGCGGCTGGCGTACTGCGCTGATCCGAAGCCAGGAGCCAGGTGCTTTTCCTGGTCTCCCATGTGGGTGCAGGGCCAAATCCTCCACTGCACTCCCAGGCCACAGCAGAGAGCTGGCCTGGAAGAGGGGCAACTGGGACAGAATCTGGCGCCCCAACCAGGACTAGGACCCGGTGTGCCAGCGCCGCAGGCGGAGGATTAGCCTAATGAGCTGTGGTGCCGGCCAAATTTGATTCTTTTTAAATTTTCTCTTATTAAAAATTTATTTTATTTATCTGAAAGGCAGAGTTACAGAGAGAGGGAGAGAGAGACACAGAGAGAGATCTTCCATGGCTGCAGGGACCCAAGTACTTGGACCATCATCTGCTGCTTTCTCAGGCCATTAGCAGGGAGCTGGATCAGAAGTGGAGCAGCCCAGACTTGAACCGCTGCCCATGTGGGATGCCCAGCAGAGGCTTACCCTACTACACCACAGCACCAGCCCCAAATAATAATACGTTCTTTTTTTAATATTTATTTATTTGAAATGCATAGTTACAAAGAGGCAGAGAGAGAGAGAGAGATCTTCCATCATCTGCTGGTTCATTCTCCAATGGCCACAATGACTAGAGCTGGGCTGATCCGAAGCCAGGAGCCAGGAGCTTCTTCTAGATCTCTCACGTGGGTGCAGGGCCCTAGAACTTGGGCCATCTTCTACTGCTTTCCCAGGCCGTAACAGGGAGCTGGATCGGAAGTGGAATAGCCGGGATTCGAACAGCGGGATGCCGGCACTGCAGGTGGCGGCTTTTCCCGCTACGCCACTGCCTGGCCGCGTATGAACATTGTTTTGTGTCTGTTCGTGTCTCTCATTCTGTAACCTGCCGCTGTACCCCTCTGCTCATTGTCCTTGTCTGTGTCTTACTGATTTCCCGTCCACGTGGGAGTTCGTCATCCTAGGGGATTACCTTTTGCCTTTTCGAGTTTTACTCTCTGGTCAAAAGCTTTTCACGGTTGTAGACAGATTCTCCAGGGTGATGACCGTGTCAATCCGTTCCTTGCTCGGAGTTTGTGTAGTTTGTGTATTCTGAGTGAGAGCTTTGGCAGCTCAGGGTGTGCCTGGACGTGGGCGGGGCAGGCACTTGCTAGGCCCAGCAGGTTCTTGCCGACCTGAAGCGCCACCTTGGTGCAGAGCCCTCCTAGGTGCAGGCCCAGTTACTGACATCTGTGTGTCAGTGTGTGTCTGTGCCTGCACCAGCCCTGCCCCTTCCGTGTTTTCTGAACCCTTCTCACATGTTCGCCACATGAACTCGGGTGTCCTTTTCACGACTGTGTGTCTGCAAACTTGCTGGTGGCGTCAGTCCGAAGCCTGCGTCACCGGGGGCAGAGCTGTCACTGCTGGGTCCTACCTGTGCGCCAGCCCTCCTCTGCCTTCCTGATGTCTTTCTCCTGGCTCTGCTGCCGAGCCCTCGTGGCGTGGGGTGATCTGCCGGTGTTTGGGGGTAGCATAGAGTTGACGAGAGAAGCCAAGTGCATCTCGTGGTCCAAGGTGCCAGCCGAGCCTGAGGAAGCGTTGCGGTAGGGAGGAGCCCGAGGAACGCCCGTGGACTCGGGAGCTCAGGGCCCTCACCGGTCAGCTCCCTCCTGAGTGGGCTTTGGAGGGGAAGGCGCCACCCGCGAGGTCTCAAAGGCCAGACGCTTGACCCTCCTGCCTCCCTCCCACTGTTCAGCCTCCTGCCACGCTCACTTCTCCCTGAGGAGGACGATGGGATCTCGCCGGGAGGAAGTGTGCTGTGGCCCCGCTCGCCGGTGAGCAGCCTGGGCCCGTGCAGCTCCCGCAGGCTGGCGCCCTGGCGTTGCCTGTGGCGTCCCTGGACGCGGGACAGCTCTGCGGAGCTGGACTCCGCTCCTGGGAGCCGCTCTCTGCTCTCAAGTGAGAGTAGACGCGGTTTCTCCCTCAGGAGACACGGACCCGGCCCGGAGCAGGGACTGTTGCTGGTGAGCCTCGGTGTCCAGGTGGAGGGAGGAGAGGCTGAGGACCTGAGGCCTCACGGCTTTAGGTCGATGGCGCGGTGGTGCCTGGAGCCTGCTCGCGGTTATTCGGGTGAGGGCCCTCTGAGCAGCGTACTGATTCATCCCGGGCTTGGGCCCGTCTGCTTCCCTCCCGCTCCCGCGCCTGTGCACGGTGTACGCAGCTGCTGCTGCCCCTGCCGGAACAGAGTTCCCGGCTCCTGGCGTCCACCCAGCAGCCTCAGTGGTTGTGGGCGATTCAGGGGAGGGAGCCAGCAGATGGAAAATGCTGCCTCTCCGCCTCTGAAATGGGTACAGAAATAAATCTTTAAAAATAAGAAAAAAAGACAACAGTAGGTTGGACTTGAGCAGCTCTGTTGGGGCAGGGAGGGGGCACCTTGGCTGGGCTAGGGTGAGAGGTGGGATTATTCAGGGAGGGGGCACAGAGGCCTGGGATGAGCGGAGCTGAAACTCCAGTCCTTGATTTTGTTGAAAATTGGTGTCCTTGGGGCTGGTGTTGTGACATATCAGATAAAGCCACCACCTGTGACACGTGTATCCCATAGGGGTGCTGGTTCGTGTCCCAGTTGCTCTACTTCGATCCAGCTTCTCGCTGATGGCCTGGGAAAAACAGTGGAAGATGGCTCAAGGGTTTGAGTCCCTGCACCTGCGTGGGAGACCGGGACGGAGCTTCCTGGCCGTTGTGGCCGTCTGGGGGTGAACAGCGTATGGAAGACCGACCTCTCTCTCTCTCTGTCTCTGTCTATAGCTCTGCCTTTCAAATAAATAAATAAATACATCTTTTTTTTTTAATTGACATCATTTTGTGGCTTAAAACAGCAATTCCATAAGTAATTTTAGGGTTTATTTTTCACAGACTTAGTATACGTCTTCTGAATGAGCACTGCCGCTTTGACACGACGTTGACGCGGTCATCCTCTGGCTTTCTCTTCAGACACATCTGCTGGGACACAGAGCCGGTGTCTGTGGGCCAGGGCTGGTGACGGTGCCGCAGTGGTGAGGACATCTGTCCGCATTCCGCAGCTGGCTGGACCCGCAGAGGCAGCTCCGAGCTCAGCGTGGCAGCGGGGCGGGCCCTGGAGGGAGGGTTCCGTCTTCATTCGTGGGCAGAAGACTGGAGGGAGGTGGGGGTGGCAGTGGTGGTGTTCTGCCTAGATCAGTGGTTCTTAACCAGGGCAGTGTTGGTCCAGCGGACAGCTGGCAATGTCTGGAGACTCTTGGTTGTCGGCCCGTTCGGGGGGCTGGTGGAGAGATGTGCCACGATGCAGTGGGGTGGAGGCCCGCGAGGCAGTTGAGTGCCCTGGGGTGCACGGGGCTGGGGGGAGGCGGCCCCAGCAGGGATGGGCCCGAGTGCCGGCTGGCCCTGGTGGCAGAGCCCTGCTCTGTGCCGCTGTGCACTGACTGACTGGCTTGTCCTTTCCTCTCCTTGCTGCTTTTGTACTTTTTTTTTTTTTAATCTTGTGTCAATTAGAATGGCTGTAATCAAAAGACAAAAGTAACAAATGCTGGTGAGGATTTGAAGAAAGGGGCAAGTTAATGCAGCTGTTATGGAAAACAGTACGGAAGGGCCTCAAAGAACCACAACTGGATCTGCCAGCGACGCGGCAGCCCCAGTATCCCCTGGGCATGCACCCAAGGGAGTGAGGTCATCCGACACGGGGCCTGCCGAGGTCACGCGGCACTGCTCACGTCGGCAGCCCAGGTGTGGTCCCCCGGCTGTCTGCTGAGGGGCGCGCTAGGAACAGGCAGAATACAGACTCACGGGAGGCTTTGTTTTTTATTTTTAAAGTTCTGTTTGAGAGATAGGACACCTGTCCTGCGATGGCCACGCAGCCAAGGGGCTGAAGCTGGGGACTCAGCCCACCCCCACCCCCCCCGTAAGGAGCAGGAACCCAGCTTCTTAAGCCATCACTGGCTTCCATGGCTAGGTGCTAGCAGAAAGCCACAGCCAGGAACTGAACCCAGGAACGGCCACAGTAGGATCGTGGCAGCCTAGCCAGTGTCTGTACGGCTAGGCCACAGGCCTGCCCCACGCCAGGGGACGTTACTCAGCCGTAACAGTGAATGAGACCTCGTCATGTATGCAGCATGTGCGGAAGCTGACACGTGTTAGGTAGCCGGCCCTGCATGTGACGCTCAGAGTGCCGCTGAGGGTCAGGATGTGGGGGGTGGGGGTGGGGCCCAGTGAGGAGGGAGGCAGATGCTCCGGCCTGCACTTGTACGGAGGGGTGGCTGCAGTCTACAGCGGTGTGTTATATTGTTTATGGAGAACTAGAAGGGAGGGGTTTGCAGGTTCACTACACAAAGAAATGACGCGTGTTTTAGGAGATGGAAAAGCTATCACCCTGATTTGATCATACGTGCCGTACTCTATAAATATGTGTAGAATTCTATGTCAATAAACAAGGAAAGCAAAACCCCAGCGGACGTCTGTCTCCTTGTTCGTCAGAGGCGGTGTTCTTCTTGTATTCTGTTCAGCACGGGGGCCTGGGCCTGTGGCGTTCTTGTGTTGGCGACTGGGGCCCCAAATGTGTGTGTCGGTGCTGGTGGTGACCCCATGACCTCTGGAGCTTGAGAGGTGGCAGGCGGGCTGCGGCAGTGCCCTGTCCCCAGCAGCCCGCGTTCTCCGGGGAGCGCAGTGCCACAGCCTCTGGGGAGCAGAGAACCACTGCGGCATCCCGCGTGGAGATGGGGGCTCAGGGTCCCCAGAGGGTTGGTGCCTGGGCCCAAGGACCTGCCCTGGGACTGAGAACATCCACTTCCCGTCCACTCAGCAGGGAGAGGCCATCGCAACCAAGGGTTAACATGGCCCGGCGGCAGCAGCCGCCAGGTTCTGCCGGAAGGGGAGAAAGCAAGTGCAGCCTATGAGCAGACGCTAGCGGTGCCTCCCCTCCCCCAGGAGGCCGGGAGTGGGGCTGGGTAGGAGGGGCCGCTGCGATTGCATTCATGGAAATGAGCCTGCGAGGAGCAGCACGCGCGGGTGTCAGCCGCGGCCCTGCACGCCCGTCCCCGGGCCCACGCCAGCCTTCCCTGCCAGGCTCAGCTCACTGCCACCGCAGGCTCCTGCGCTGGGCCTTTGTCTCCTCCGGACGCCCTCTCCGGTGCCCTTGTGTGCTGGCACACACACACTGTCCTTGCCCCGGCTCTCCCTGCAGCCAGAGCTGGGGGCGCTCCCAGGAGCCTGGGCCTGTGGCCTCTGACGTGGAGAGCTGCGACCGGCCGAGGCTTTGATGTTGCCGCCCAGGGCTTGCCAGGACACTGGGGCCGCAGGAGAGGGGACTCGCCGCGGGTAAGAGGCCGGGTCGATGGCGCGCGGTGGAGCTGTGCCTGCAGATCCATCCCCCTGTTATGCCTTGTGCCTGCCTGCCCCCCCACCCCGCTGCCGGCTGCCGGCTGCAGGAGCTGGTGTGTGTGCGGCGTTTCTCTGCATGCGTGTCCTTTGGATCCACATCTTCTACTCTTCTCGCTAGGATTTTTCCGTGGGTGTCTCTGGACAGGGGTCCGAGCGTTCAGTGCAGTTTCTCCCAGGCCTGAGACTTAAGAGCAAGCCAGTAACCAGGTTCTGTGGCCCAGCTGTGGTGAGGTCAGAAACAGGGCGGCAGAAAGCGGTTCGGGGCGATTCTCTCTCCTCTAGACCTGCCTGCCCACGAGCTTCCGTTTTGCTTCTCAAGGGCCTTAGAGCCGTCCTGGGCAGGGGGAGCCCCCTGGGCAGCAGCACGCAGCCAGCCTGGTCCGAGGGTTCCATTGGCTAGACTGAGCGAGAACGTCTAAGTGCCAGACGAATTCGGGGTCTCTAGAGGACCAGGACACAGATAGACGGGAGGCATGAGAATGACGTGGGGGAGAACAGGCTTCCTAAGACCCCACCGAGCCTGTTTCCACAGGAGGGGTGTGGTGGCCCAGCTGCAGGCACGGGGAGTGGCCGTGCCTCGGCCTGGAGCCCTACTGCAGGCAGGACACGTACAGTTGGTCCCTCGATGGAATATGGAACTTGGGGCCTCCCCCGGGGGCTGAGGGCCAAGCCGCTGTCTCAAGGAGGCTGTCGTGGTGGGAGGGTTCTCGCTGAGTGTCCACAGTCTGCGTTCGGTCCCCATGATCCTTGAAGAAAACGCACGCACACACACGCACACACAGGAGTGGAGACAGACGACGTCTGAGTGCTGGAGAGAAACCGCGGTGACGGGCAGCAGCGCCAGGTGCTGCCCCGTGAGGCTCTGGCAGCTGTGTCGTTGAAGTGGTTGATTCTCCGGTGTTTGCTCTCATGGGAAGCGGAGCTTCACTGTGCTTGCTTCTGTAAGCCAGATTTCTAGAATAAAATTTTGTGACTCAGTTTCCGTAACCACCTTGTAATTTGACCTCATAATGCGCAGTCCAAGTCTTCCAGTGCTAGGATTTGTTGGATAGCAAGGGTCACCCTCTGTGTGGTAAGTTAGTTCATGGAGCTCCTTAGTAGACATTTTCCCACCTGAGAAGGGCTGAGATGGACACACATCCTCATTGCACACATGCGTGGGTGGAGAGAGTCGTGGGTGCCCAGGGTCACGCGCCGGATGTCTCCGTGCCTCCCTTGTTAACCGTAGGCGGCAGCTCCTGGGTTCGTGCGGCGTGAGCAGTTAGGCTGGCTGGCACGTGAGCTGTCTGTAAGGCTGGGACCAGGAGCAGAGTGTGGCCGTAAACCCTTTCGCCGCAGGGGGTGGGTGGTTTGGGGAACTGCAACAGGCTCAGTGCTCCTGCCGGCAGTTTGCTGGGGCCCCCCCTGCTGCGCGCGCCCGCCAGCTCTGGGCGTGTGTGTGTGTGTGTGTGTGTGTGTGTGTGATCACTCTCACCTCCCACTTTGCAGCTGGTGGTGAAGCACTTTAAGTGCTCTACACAAAAGGCGAATGGTAGTTTCTTGGGAAAGGGACCAGGTTAAGGGATATCTTAAGTTAGGCTGTTGCTATTAAATTTTTGTTTATTTTTATTGTAAAATGCATATAACAGAAAAATTGCCATCTTAATCACTTGTGTTGGGTTCAGTGGTGTGAAACATTCACATTGCTGTGCAGTCATTTTTTATCTTGCAGAACTGAAACGCTGGCCACATCCAGCATCTCCCCTTCCCCTCTCAGGGGACCCCCAGTCTGCTCTCCGAGTCTGCAGATGTGACCGCTCTAGGGACCTCACACAGTCGGAGCCCTGCAGTGTTTGTCCTCTTGTCCCAGCCTGTTCCACAAAGCGGAAGGTCCCCAGGTTCTCCCGTGGCCGCGCGTGTGAGAGGCTGAACGGCAGCGTGGGCAAGCTTGGAGAGCTTCTCCGCGGGCCTGACTCGGTCGGGAGGAACTGTGGTTGGGTTCTCGGCGTTGTGAAGGTGTGAACTTGGCAGCTCATCGCTGGGGGAGGTGTCGCTGCGTCTCGGCTGCTTCTCCGTGTCCTCTGATCCTGACAGTTACCCTAAGGCCTCGCTCTAACGTTAAGGCAGCCGTGACGCCTCAGAACCAGCACAGCTTTTTGTCTGTGCCCCTGTGGCCTTGCACAGGTCTCCTCACCCCTGTGCCCGTCTTGTCGGCCAGAACTGGGAGTTTGTGATGAAGGTGGCTTTTCTCGGTGAGGGAGGGAAAAACATTGCTCCCAGACCCTGATCCGTCAACCTCACATCGCCTTCGCACGCGGCACTGTTCCCCCCACGTTTGCTGCCGTAGGTGTGTCCGCAGCACTGTCTTCTCGCTCTGCTCGGTTCGGCTGACTGTTTCCTGTTCCTGAGGCAAGCCTGTGTTTCCCCCAGAGCATCCCGCCTTCCGGCTGGCTGTTGCTTTGAGGCACAAATAGGTCAAAGGCACCTGCCAAGGTCACGGGGCCACCGGGTGTGCGGGGCTGTGGTTAGGACACAAGACCTCCGTGCGCAGAGTGGCAGCCTCTGACCCTTTCCAGACGTGGGGTGAGGAGCTCGGAGCGTCCCACATGGCCCTGCTCACCACGTGCTCCTGAACTTTTTTTTTTTTTTTTTTTTGACAGGCAGAGTGGACAGTGAGAGAGAGAGAGACAGAGAGAAAGGTCTTCCTTTTGCCGTTGGTTCACCCTCCAATGGCTGCCACGGCTGGCGCGCTGCGGCCGGCGCACCGCGCTGATCCGAAGCCAGGAGCCAGGTGCTTCTCCTGGTCTCCCATGGGGTGCAGGGCCCAAGCACTTGGGCCATCCTCCACTGCCCTCCCGGGCCACAGCAGAGAGCTGGCCTGGAAGAGGGGCAACCGGGACAGAATCTGGCGCCCTGACTGGGACTAGAACCTGGTGTGCCGGCACCACAGGTGGAGGATTAGCCTAGTGAGCCGCGGCGCCAGCCATGCTCCTGAACTTGTCAGTGCATCTGTAGACAAGTTCCTGGCATTGTTGCTGCCGCAGCGGGAGACCAGCTCTGCCTTCCGTGTGTCACACAAGCAGTGTGTGCTATCGTCACTGGAAAGACAGAAGGAGCCGGTCAGATGTGCAGGTAGAGGAAGGAATATGGCATGTGTTGGACACACACTCGTGCAGCTGTCCATCTCCTTGCTCACCCCAGTGTCACCCCAGTGCTCTGTTGTACAGGGAGAAGCGGCCCACACCGGGTTAGGACTGTGCTGAACAGTGCCTGTCTCCAAAGCCTAAGTTCTTTCTAATATGTTAAAGTGTTTATTTTAAAGATTTATTTATTTGAGAGGCAGAGTTATAGACATAGAGAGGAAGAGAAAGAGAGAGAGAGGGCTTCCATCCGCTGGTTCACTCCCCAGATGGCTGCAATGGCCAGAGCTGGGCTGATCTGAAGCCAGGAGCTTCTTCCGGGTCTCCCACACGGGTGCAAGCACTGAACCGTCTTCCACTGCTCTCCCAGGCACACTAGCAGGCAGCTGGATGGGAAGTGGAGCAGCCAAGCTCCAACCGACACCCATGTGTGATGCTGGCAGTGCAGGCAGCGGCTCAACCTGCTATGCTACAGCCTCGGCCCCTATTTCGAAGTTTTAAAAGTGTTTCCTGGGAGACAAAGTCTCTTTATGTCTCTCTCTCACACACACACACCGCCTCCCTCTGCCTCCCCCCAGCAGAGGGAGGGGGCCTGGTCCCACGGCGGGATATCCGCTCCAGGTGTCGTGGATGGGTGCTGACCACTGTGACAGTCGTGGCCTGGGAGGGCTGTGCTTGGAGCTGGGAGAACAGCGCCCGGCCCTGTGTGTGTAAGGCACCGTTCCTGAACAGCCCGGTGTCCTCAGAGCAGTTCTTCATACAGAACGCTGGGCACTACTGCTGCGTTAGGGCTCAAGGCTGAGTCCCAGGGCGGTGGGGAGGAGGAGGCTGGTTCTGTGTGTGGGTCTGTAGGGTGTGCGGAGCGGGAGGGCACCGAGGCAGCAGCCCCCGCTGGCTGTGTGGAGCTGAGGATGACCTCCTGGCGCTGGGCAGGGGCTTGGCTGGGCATCTGTCTGTGCACCTGCCTTCCCACGAGTGAGGGAGCTGGACTTTGCTGTTGGATCACCTTTAAAAATGCGTCCCTGCTGTGCTGGTCTTTCCTCACTGAGAGGCAGGCTGTGAGCAGGTGTGGGACTCTAAGGCCCGCGGCCTGTTTTAGAGTCAGGCTGCAGGGACCTGGCGGCGGCAGGATGGCCCGGGAGCCGCTCTGGTCCTCGAGCCTGCCGCGGACGCTTTGGTTTTCCCGCACCCACAGGGGCTTAGGAGGGCGGCAGCTGCTGCAGGTCTGCTGAGCAGGATTCGCTGGGGCCGGCGGGTCGGGGGAGGCAGAGCCCACCGTGTGCTCATTTATCGTCCCCTGTGCCTTTAAGACAGTCCTCCTTTGTATGCGCTGGCTGGAACCCACTTCAGCTCTGGGTTTCTGCCGATTGTTAGAATCTGCAAAGCAACATTTAAATAAATAAATGAAAGCTTCCCTTGTGTGCTGTTCTATTCACAGCTCAGCACAATGGCCCCTTGTTGTTTTTCTCACTTTAGTCTCCTCATTAAATCAGAACCTTGGGAAGGAATGGTGAGGGGCTGACTGCTTCTGCACACCTTGCAGATTAACCTGGGCAGGGCCGGATGTCGAGGGGCCGAGAAGGGGGCGCAGCGCCTCCCTGGGCCTGCGGGGGCCCGCAGCGCGTGGCAGCGGGGAGGGAGGGGGCTTGTGGTTCTGCCATCTGGCCCTCTGGGCGCTGCTCCGCAGTTTAGCCCCAGTGCCTGGGCCAGGAGAGGCAGCGCAGGTGGACGGATGGTCGGATGGACGGGTGGACGGATGGACAGCCGGACGGATGGTTGGATGGACGGATGGTCGGATGGACGGATGGACGGCCGGACGGATGGTCGGATGGACAGATAGACGGATGGTCGGATGGACAGATGGACGGCCTTCCCTGACTCCCACCTGAGGTGTGGGCTGGGCACGGTTACCTCTGAGGCCTGGCCTCTCCTGTGTCCACCGTGGCCTTCAGCGTCCTTAGGACAGTCCCTCTGCCCGCCTGCATGCGAGGTGGCTGTGGTTACCCCGATTCCTGATGCGGTGGAAAAGGAAATCTAGGACTTTGTCTTTGGAATTGCTCCTTGCTCGCGGGCAACATGAGAGTGAACACTGGAGCTGCAAACCTGGGGTTGCACCGCTGAGTTGCTGGAGGGAAAATGCTTCCGCTGAAGTGTTTGATTTTCCTTATCTCGGAGCAGCGCTCCGCCAGACCTGGGCAGCGTCTTTGCCCCAAATCCTTCCGTGATCTGTGAAGGGGGAGCAGCCTGTGGGTGAGGCTGCCGAGTGTGAGGTGAGAAGTCCCTGAGCTCACGGTTCGCGTCTGGAGGCCGCGTCAGAAGTCAGCGAACAAGCCTTGCCTCGTGCGGGCCGGGTGGCGTCTCCTGCCTGGCGTCAAGGACGCGCAAGCCGGCTTAACAGGAACCACGGGCGGACAGTTTTGTTGCTTGGTTTTCAGAGGCCTCAGTGCGCACGCGTGTGGATTTTATTTTGATTAGGGAAGGGCCTTGAGGGCAGACGCGTGTTTCCTTTGCAAGAGCGAGTTCTCTGTCCCTTGCCCCTTTTCACGGTTCCCTGGTCTTCCACAGTCACCTGTGTTCCCGGATAATCCACTCGCTACCAGGTGCTCTGTGTTCCCGGCTCCCTCCCGCTCATGCTGCAGGCCTGCTCACCTGGAAGGGTGAACAGGAAACCGTGGTGGGCTGAGTGTAGACTCACTCTGGGCCTGCGCTGGGCCTGGCAGGCCAGGGAGGCTTCACTTTAGGGTGGTGGGCCAGAGCCCGCTCTGCCGTAGGCGGACACCAAGTGTGCCGGACGTAGCCGATGCTCCATGCTGGCACCAGCTCCCAGCGCTAGCCGCTCACCTACCAGTTCTTTCAGGTTTGCCTGGAGCTCAATATGTGTATGAAACCCTTAGTGTGGCCGGCCCAGGGCCAGGCACCCAGAGCGTAACAGTGCCGTAGGCGTGCAAGGCTGCTGCCCTGCCGAGTTCACGGTCTAGAAGCTGTGAGTGCGTTTCCTTTGCGTCCTCTGTTCTGGAGGTCGGCTGACATCTCTGTCGACGGCTTGCTTCCCATGTCCTTTGCTGTGTGGGTATGTGCGGTTTTTATTCCTTCTCTATTTAAAGGCAGCATCTTGGACAGTGGAAGAGCGGAAATACATTCTGAATTTATAATACAGAAATTAGATTGTGACCGTCTAGAAAAGCTGTCATGTGTGAACACTAACCCAGAATGGTTCACTCGTAATTTAGAATGATTTTTTTGGAAAATGGTTTCCGGGTGCAGCAGTGCCGAGATACGAATGTCTGCTCGTGATGGATCTGCTTTTCATTGATCCCACTTTTTTTTTTTTTTTTTTTTTTTTTTTTTGACAGGCAGAGTGGACAGTGAGAGAGAGAGACAGAGAGAAAGGTCTTCCTTTGCCGTTGGTTCACCCTCCAATGGCCGCCACGGCCGACACACCGCGCTGATCCGAAGCCAGGAGCCAGGTGCTTCTCCTGGTCTCCCATGGGGTGCAGGGCCCAAGCACTTGGGCCATCCTCCACTGCCTTCCCAGGCCACAGCAGAGAGCTGGCCTGGAAGAGGGGCAACTGGGACAGAATCCGGCGCCCCGACCGGGACTAGAACCCGGTGTGCCGGCGCCGCAAAGCGGAGGATTAGCCTAGTGAGCCGCGGCGCCAGCCCATTGATCCCACTTTAACGGCCTTCACTTTAGTCTCTCTGCTTGGATAGAGACTCACTAATGGTCTGATTAAGCCAGCTCAGTGCCTTCTAAATCAAATCCCAACTATTGATGACCTCATAAATACCAACTGCTGCTTCAGAATTTCAAAATCACGTTGTATGCGACCAAATCTGACTTCTAGACCCCCAGGAAGTCCGTTTTCCTAAAGGCATCTTCTGGGTTTCGTGGATCAGAAACTCCCCGTCTCTGAGGCCCAGAACGGTTGGCCGGCCCACCTCCCCGGGCTTTTCTCTAGAACTGGTGTGGTGTGTCTGCGGCCAGGAGTGCCTTGCCCCGGGGCCTCGCCTTCCCTGGAAGCCTGTTGAGTTGGTGGGCTGCTGGAATTGCGGGGGGGGGGGGGGGGGGGGCGGATTTCCAGGCCGGGACTCGTGCGTTAGGCAGGCTGTGCCACCAGTGGACTAGAGCCACGGTATGAGGACGAGCCAGAGGGATGACAGATGTCAGCACATTCCACGTGATGAGGGGGAGGTTGGGTCATGGTAGAAAACGTGCTTGTGACTGTGGATCACGGAGAAGCTTAAGAGATCCTGTGTAGGGAAGGATGGAGAAAGGTGTGTAGAAAAATAGAAACTGGAGGGGCTGGTGCTGTGGCGGCCCGGCTGCTCCACTTCCCATCCGGCTCTGCTGTGGCCCGGGAGAGCAGTGGACGAGGCCCGAGTGCTTGGGCCCTGCACCCGCGCGGGAGACCCGGAGGAAGCTCCTGGCTTCTGATGAGGCCCGGCTGCGGCTGTTGTAGCCATCTGGGGTGTGGCCAGCGGAGGAACGACCCTTCTCTGTGCCTCTCCTTCTCTGTAACTCTGCCTTTCAAATAAATAAGTGGTGAGCCTCCACCTGTGACGCCAGCATTGGTTCTGTGTCCCAGCTGCTCCACTTCTGATCAGCGTTCCCCTAACTTGGGCCATAGCAGAGAGCTGGACAGGAGGAGGAGCAGCCGGGACAGGAACTGGTGCCCGTGTGGGATGCCGGCGCTGCAGGAGGAGGGTTAATCTGTGCCTCGGCCTGGCCCCGGAGTACCCAGGATGGATCCTGCTCCTTCGCTTCCTGCCAGCTTTCTGCTGATGCACCTGACAGACGGCGGAGTTCCAGGCTCCTGGCTTTGGCCTGGCCCTGACCCGTCTGGCTGTTGGAACCACTTGGGGAGTGAACTAGTGGACGGAAAATGTCCATCTCTCCCTCTGTCATTCTGCCTTAAAAATAAATAATACATATTTTTCAGAAAGGAAAAGAATCACCTGTTCCGGCGTCTGCAGTGCACTCAGACTTCCCTGCGGGCTGTTTTTCTCTCTGGCTCTCTTCCGCTCTCTTCTCGGGAGGTGCTGGGGGACGCGGCCGTTCTGCGTGTGCAGCAGGTTGAGTCTCGGTGCCACAGCGGAAGGCTCTGGCGTCCGAGTCTGTGCTGCCGAGGCGTCCGGGTCACCCCTGGAGATCAGTTAAAACCTGCATTTAGTCACCAGGTTTTATCAGTGCGTGATCAGCATACAGTGTTGGGAGAGATGGTTTCTTCTCTTTTTGGCGGCAAGTCCGTATTTTGCACATATGACGTGCCTCACAGGGCCACACAGGCACTTCTGCTTAGCATCACCCTTCCTCCTCCTGTGCTGAGGAGAGAGCAGGAGCCAGCACTTCGTGTCCCACTGAGCACGGGCGGGATTCCAGGCGCTTCGAGTGGTCCCCCTTAGCCAAGGTTTTGCTACTCACAGACTCAGTTGTCCGTGTGCCCTGCATCCCAGAATTATTAAATGGAAAATCCCAGGAACAAGCAGTTGATAAGTTAGAGTGGGCAGTGTAATGAGATCTCACACGGTGCCTCAGTGCCCTCAGTCCCTCCGTTCGTGCGCCTTCTGCCCATGAACTGGTGAGGGAGGAAGACGTTACGTTGGCTTTGCTCCTAGGCCTCAGGCAGCCAGCGTCGGACCACAGTGTGTGAAAAGTGCTTCGTTAAGATAGAAGCGGCGTTCAAGGTGTGTGTGTGTGTGCGGGTTCTGTCTGCGGCTTCAGGCCCCAGATGGAAGGGGACGCTGCCCTGTTGCATGTCACCCCCACAGAGCCTGGAGTGGCCCAGAGACCACCACTTGCCCAAAGTCACCTGTTGTGGCATCCGGTGGGACCAGAGCTGGGACTGCATCCAGGGTACCCGTGCCCGTGCGTCTCGTGTGTGCCCATGGCTCCTGCAGCCTCTCAGGAGGGCAGCTCCCAGGGCGTCCGCCTGTCCCTGTGTGCGTGGATGAGGGGGTGAGGCACGGCAGGGCTGGGGCCGAGCGCTGGTAGAACTGTGGTCTGGGAGTCACATGGCCTTGTTTAGAGAAGCGCACCCTTAAAACCTGAACAACACAGACGGCTGGAGAGAGGAAGCCCTGCAGTGCCAGCCCCGGCGTTAGGCATCATCTCGCTCTGGCGTGTACCCTGTTACTCTTACTCCATTACCACTACTGCTGTTCTTACGAGAGACAGCTCCCACCCTGGATCCACCCGCTGTGAATGCCCACAGCGGCCAGGGCCGGAGCCAAGAACCCGGGCTGGGTCTCCCACACGGGTGACCAGAGCTCAATTCCGTAGCCACCGCGAGCGCTGGAGGTGGAAGCCAGACTCCAGTGTGCGATGGGGACTTCCTGAGTTCTAGTTCCAAGCCCCTCCCTGCATCCTTCTCCGCACATACAAAGTCTCCTCCACCCCGTCACCCCCACAAGTGGCCCCAAAAAACCCCGTCACCCCCACAAGTGGCCCCAAAGCGCTCTCCCTCCTGCTGCTTCTGGGGCTCCCGGGTCGGGGTTCACCTCCCCGAGGCAGCGCAGTTCCATTACTGACCACCGGGGAGCAAGCACAGCGCGGCGCTCAGGGCTGAGACGCAGGCGCCAGCCCACCCGGTAACCTGTGGTCTCCTGGGCCTGGCTTTGCCCTCTGAGGGCTCCTCCCTCGGGCGCGCGCCTGCCGTGAGGCCCTCTGTCAGAGAGCGGAGGTGTGAGCCACGCGGTCCCCGCTGAGCTCATTGCCGAAGCCGCATCTCCACTCCCTGGCGTCGTCCCCACGTGGAATCCGGAGTCTGAGATGTTGGTGACTGAGCGCGCTCTCAGTGTCGCTCCCTGCTTCCTCCTAGTGCCCAGTGACCTGACCGCAGAGGAGCGGCAAGAGCTGGAGAACATACGGCGGCGGAAACAGGAGCTGCTGGCTGACATTCAGGTAGGAGGGCAGCCCGTGTGTGCAGGCGTGTCCTCACTGCCCCGTGTGTGCAGGCATGTCCTCACAGCCCCATGTGTGCAGGTGTGTCCTCACTGCCCTGTGTGTGCAGGTGTGTCCTCACAGCCCCATGTGTGCAGGCGTGTCCCCAGAGCCCTGTGTGTGCAGGCGTGTCCCCAGAGCCCCGTGTGTGCAGGCGTGTCCTCGCTGCCCCGTGTGTGCAGGCGTGTCCTCACTGCCCCGAGTGCGCAGGAGTGTCCTCACTGCCCCGTGTGTGCAGGAGTGTCCTCACAACCCCATGTGTGCAGGTGTGTCCTCACTGCCCTGTGTGTGCAGGTGTGTCCTCACAGCCCCATGTGTGCAGGCGTGTCCCCAGAGCCCCGTGTGTGCAGGCGTGTCCTCAGAGCCCCGTGTGTGCAGGCGTGTCCTCAGAGCCCCGTGTGTGCAGGTGTGTCCTCACAGCCGTGTGTGCGCAGGCATGTCCCCAGGGCCCCATGTGTGCAGGCGTGTCCTCACAGCCCCATGTGTGCAGGTGTGTCCTCAGAGCCCTGTGTGTGTACAGGTGTGTCCTAACAGCCCTGTGTGTGTGCAGGAGTGTCCTCACAGCCCCGTGTGTGCAGGTGTGTCCTCACTGCCCCGTGTGTGCAGGCGTGTCCTCACAGCCCCGTGTGTGCAGGTGTGTCCTCACAGCCCTGTGTGTGTGTGCAGGTGTGTCCTCACAGCCCTGTGTGTGTGTGCAGGCGTGTCCTCACTGCCCTGTGTGTGTGCAGGTGTGTCCTCACAGCCCTGTGTGTGTGTGCAGGCGTGTCCTCACTGCCCTGTGTGTGTGCAGGTGTGTCCTCACTGCCCCATGTGTGCAGGCGTGTCCTCACTGCCTTGTGTGTGTGCAGGTGTGTCCTCACAGCCCTGTGTGTGTGTGCAGGCGTGTCCTCACTGCCCCGTGTGTGTGCAGGCGTGTCCTCACTGCCCCATGTGTGCAGGCGTGTCCTCAGAGCCCGTGTGTGCAGATTGTCCTTGAGCGTCGTCTGTAGATGCACTTCCCTGCTCTGGCTGTGTGTCTGTCCTCCTGCCTCACTGTCACATGCTGGGAAAGCCAGCAGGTGCTGCCGTCAGTCCCCATTCCCCGTGGGAATCCGTCCGTTCTGAGGCCGAGCTGGCGTGGGGAGAGGGAGGGATAGGCACGCCCTGGGCCGGCCGCAGGGCAGCGGTGTTGGCCCCACACGGCCGTGCTGGCCCAGCGGCTGGGCCTGGGTGCCGGGGTTTGTCCTGGGCCGGCTTCATCGTGCTGCCGTTCAGTGAGGCGCAGCTTTGTTCCAGAAGCCTGCACTGACCGCACCGAGGCCGCCCTTCTCAGGGCAGTGAGCGTCTCAGACGCTGTGTGTGCTTTGACCCGAGGTCGGGAGCCTGCTTCCCACCCTCGTTCCCCTGCATTGCTCGCTGTCGTGGGAACGTGTGCTCCTCGTGTGCTCTCTGCCTCATCTCATTTGGCTCCGTCTGGTTTCGTTTTGGCTGGAGGGAGGCTTCCTCCCCGCTGACCCCTGGCTTTCTTCCACAGAGGCTGAAGGATGAGATAGCAGAAGTAGCTAATGAAATTGAACACCTGGGGTCCACGGAGGAGAGGTGAGTCTGCCCGGCTCCGGCTGTGGCACATCGGGGGAGGGGCCTCCGCTCCCACGAGCGCGCGTGTGCCGGCCTCACCACAGAGGCCCTCGGGGCGGCGGTTTTCTGCTGCAAAGGTGGGCCTAGAGGACTCCGGGGTCCCGAGCGCTCCACTGCTCCTGAGTCTGTGTGTGAGCTGCCGTTCCCTCCCTCCGTGGTCCCTGTGTCCAGAGTTTCTGTCTTCGCTGTGCACAGCGGAGGAGCTTGGCCACAGCTCGGTGTCGAGGGCAGCCGTGCCCGGCTGCGTCCGAGTGTCGTGGCAGGCGTGTTTGCCCCTGCAGGACACGTCAGGGAAGGGACAGTGGAGATGAAGTCGCGGTGTGACACCGCAGGGAGTGAGTGTGTGCGTGTGCGCGCGTGTGCGTATTTCAGTGACATGGAGCGTGGGAGACTTTGTGAGCTGACTTTGGGAGGGGCTCCCAGGCCGTTCCCTGACGGCTGACGCAGTAGATGGGCTGTTCCCAGCTCTCTGTGTCCGCGCTCCAGCCTTAGTCTTCCTCTCTGGCTGCATAAGACCATTGATTTGTCGTCTTGGCCCTGCGCTGGCGCCGCCCTGGGGTTGGCGAAGCTGCCTGGGCCTCAGAAAGCAGCCGGCTCGCACCTCCAGGCTCTGTGGTGTCAGTGTGCTGTTCTGGGTGGCGGCTGTCTCACTTCCCATCTAAAAAATCATTGCTTAAAAGAAATGGATAACTTGGAGTTAATCAAAATTTAAAATATCTGTTCTTGCAAAAGATAAATGTTAAAAGCAATGAATAGGCAAGCCATGACTAAGAGAAAATATTTTTTTTTAAGATTTATTTGTTTATTTGAACGGCAGAGTTACACAGAGAGAGACAGAGAGAGAGAGGGAGAGGGAGGTCTTCCATCCACTGGTGCACTTCCCAGTTGGCCAAAACGGCCGGAGCTGTGCAGATCCGAAGCCAAGAGCCAGGAGCTTTTTCCAGGTCTCCCACGTGGGTGCAGGGGCCCAAGAACCTGGCCCATCTTCTACTGCTTTCCCAGGCCACAGCAGAGAGCTGGATCGGAAGTGGAGCAGCCTGGACTGCAACCAGTGCCCCTATGGGATGCCATCACTGCAGGCGGTGGCTTTACCTGCTACGCCACAGCACCGGCCCCTAGGAGAAAATATTTGTAATACATATACCAAAAAAAAAAAAATACACACACAGTATCACATCACATATAATTTAATGAATGAGACAGCCCAACTTTAAACATGGGAAAAAAGCTTGAGTAGACCCTTGACAGAGGAAGCTGCCTGTATGGCGGACACAGGAATGCCCAGCACCGTTACTAACGAGGAACAGCGCCCCCACGAGATGCCCCTCGCCGCGCTGTGACACCGCAGTTACAAGACGGACGGTGCCTGGTGCTGACAGGTGCCGGAGAGACTAAAGCGGCGTAGCTATTCAGGGAAAACAGTTGTTTTTCAAAAAAAAATTATTTTTTATTTTATTTTATTTTTTTTATTTTTTGACAGGCAGAGTGGACAGTGAGAGAGAGAGACAGAAAGGTCTTCCTTTGCCGTTGGTTCACCCTCCAATGGCCGCCGTGGCCGTTGCGCTGCGGCCGGCACATCGCACTGATCCGAAGCCAGGAGCCAGGTGCTTCTCCTGGTCTCCCATGGGGTGCAGGCCCAAGCACTTGGGCCATCCTCCACTGCACTCCCTGGCCACAACAGAGAGCTGGCCTGGAAGAAGAGCAGCCGGGACAGAATCTGGCGCCCCGACCGGGACTAGAACCCGGTGTGCTGGCGCCGCAAGGCGGAGGATTAGCCTAGTGAGCCACGGCACCGGCCCCCCCAAAAAAATTATTTATATGAAAGGCAGACTTAGAGAGGGAGAGAGATATCTCCCATCCGCTACTTCCCTCCCCAAATGACCACAATGGCGGGGGCTGGGCCAGGCCAAAGCAGCAGCCCAAGCACTTGGGCCATCTTCGCCTGCTTTCCCTGGCAGATTAGCAGGGAGCGGGATCAGAAGCGGAGTGACCAGGACTTGAACCAGTGTTCCTGTGGATGCTGGTGTCTAGGTGGTGGCTTAACCTCCTCGCCACGAACCCAGCCCCAGAAAGATGTTTCTTAGAATGTTCAGTGTGCACACGCTGTGACCCAGCAGTTCATCGCCGGGGCGTCCTCGAGCGGAACGAGAACACGTCCACAAGGTGTGCGGTGTCTGAGTTCTTACTGAGGGTGGCCGTAGGGGAGTGGGTGGGGCAGGGTAGCACGGTGAGGAGGAGCGGGCTGCCGTGGGCCACGGCGCCCCGTGACAGCCGCCGTCGGCACCTGCACTGCTGCTCCTGAGCCTCTGGACGGGAGACCCCGGGCGCCCGGCGGAGGTCCCGCAGCGGCTGGTTCTGAGGGCAGGCCCGGAGGGCGCTCAGCGGACGGCGGGGCGTTCAGTGTGAATCTCAGCCGTGCTACGGGGCAGCGTGTCCTCGTCAAAACACGCCGAACCGCCTGCTGAGAGTGAGCCCCGTGTGCCCTGAAAAGGACGCCTCGATTTTGAAAAGGCAAAAATAAGGCTTTTTTTTTTTTTTTTTTTTTTTTTTTTTTTTTTTACTGATTGAGGTAATACGCATTTAATGCAGAAAATAGGTAAAATATAGCCAAGTATGAAGAAAACGGATTTCTGGCCGGCGCTGTGGCTCACTAGGCTAATCCTCCACCTGCAGCGCTGGCACCCCAGATTTCTGTCCCAGTCGGGGCACCGGTTCTGTCCCGGTTGCCCCTCTTCCAGGCCAGCTCTCTGCTGTGGCCAGGGAGCGCAGTGGAGGATGGCCCAGGTGCTTGGGCCCTGCACCCCATGGGAGACCAGGAGAAGCACCTGGCTCCTGGCTTTGGATCAGCGCAGTGCGCTGGCCGTAGCGGCCATTTGGGGGTGAACCAACGGAGAAGGAAACCTCTCTCTCTGTCTCTCTCTCACTGTCTAACTCTGCCTGTCAAAAAAAAAAAAAAAAAGCGCATTTGGCACAGTCACTCGCCTCCTCTGGCCCGACGCTGTGTGTCCTGGAGTCCTCACACACGTTCTCGGAATTCACTGCGCGTTTGCTTGGTCAGGTCTCTGTCCCAGAGACCCCAGGAGTGGGAGAGACGAGCCTCCGACAGCCTCACTGGCGTCTCGTGAGCGTCGCTGATCCACCAGCCACATCTGAAGATGGGCGTCCCGGAACGGGAGTTTAGTTATCTGCTCACTTTTAGACACTGTACTTTTATCAGGGAGAACTCCCATCCGTGGGTTTACTCCGAGTGCCCACAGGAGCCAGGAGGCGGATGCTGGGAGCGGGAGCGCGGCCCGGGTCTCCCACGTGGGTGGCAGGGAGCCGGGCACTTGGGCCGTCACTGCTGGCTCCCGGGGTGCGCATTAGCAGCAGGCTGGACTCGGGGCCAGAGCGGGGCATCGAGCCTCGTCGTCAGGGCCGCGGGCAGGGCTCTGCTGGCTGGCCGCCTAACTCCAGGCCGAGGGCCGCCCCGTTGGTTTTTGGTTTAGAACTTAGAGAGGTTGTCCAGCATCGAACTCCCGCATGGGGCTGCTCTGAGCTTCGGGGGTTCTCAGACTCGGCATGGATTTGCTCCTCAAGCAGGTTCCGTTCCTTCTGATTTCCACATTTTCAGGCAAAGACCCGACGCCAGCATCTTACAGAAGTGACCTAGGTGCTGTTTAGTCAAGCAGAGGTTGTCTGCTCGCGCACTGCGCGCGTGGAGCGTCTGGAAGGTCAGCTCGGGTAACCGCGCTGAGGCAGGGGCAGTGAGGCTGGCGCTTTGTTCTGGAGACCCGTCAGGGGCTGACCCGAGGGAAGCTGGCGAAAGCCGCTCAGGGAGGCCGCCGCTGCAGGCCTGCCGTCCGCCACGCCGTTCTCAGGGAGTCGCGCAGCAGGCGTTTCCTGACACTGGGAAATGCAGACCAGAGTGATCTTTCTGGATTTAGAAAAAAGGTCTGGTGTCAGCATGGTGGTGAAGCCGATAAAGCCAACGCTGACATCTCATGGGTGCCGGTTTTGTGTCCTGGCTGCTCTACTGCCGATCCCGCTCTCTGCTACGGCCTGGGAGAGAACATGGCCCAAGTCCTAGGGCCCCTGCACCCGCGTGGGAGACCCAGACGAAGCGCCTGGCTCCTGGCTTCAGCCGGAACCAGCCCTGGCTGTTGGCGCCATCGGGGGAGTGAACCAGCGGGTGGAAGATTGCTCTCTGCCTCTCCCTCCCTCTCTGCAGCGCTTTGAAATAAATAAATCTTTAGAAAAATTGTTAGATGACCATTTAAATCACACTGGACTTCCTGCGTATCGAGCACCGCGCCTCGTTCCAGCTGCGAGTGAACGGGGTGTCCTCTCTGAGGATTCCCAGGCAGCAGTTGGCAGGGAAAGGACCTGCTGCTCTTGCTCCCTCATCCCCCACCTGCACCCCTAAATGGCTGCCACAGCCAGGGCTGGGCCAGGCTTGCAGCCGGAGCCAGGAGCTGCAGCCCAGGTCTGCCACACGAGGGGCAAGGGCCCAAGCACCTGGGCCATCAGCTGCCTCTGCAGGCACGTTGGCAGGAAGCTGGGTCGGAAACGGAGCGGTCGGGACTCAGACAGGCACTGCGATGTGGGGTGCTGGTGTCGCAAACACTGGCCCAACCCAGCCCTGCACGGTGGCCCTGGAGAGCTCTGAGCAGTGCAGGAAACCAGGCATGGGAACCCCAGTGCTGTGTGAGTCCACTTGGATCCCTGGAGACAGAGGTGGGCGGGATTAACGGAGGTGGGGTGGGGAAATGCTGTGAAACCGGGTTACGGTGATGACTGCCCAGCTGGGAAGCTTCTCAGACTCACTCACGTCGCACCTACAATGGGGATATTGCAGGTGAACTGTGCCTTGATAGACTTTGAGAGAAAAATCACATGGGGCTGGCGCTATGGCACAGCGGGTTAAAGCCCAGCCTGCAGCACCGGCATCCCATGTGGGCACCGGTTCAAGTGCCGGCTGCTCCGCTTCCAGTCCAGCTCGCTGCTCACGGCCTGGGAAAGCAGTGGACGATGGCCCAAGTGCTCGGGCCCTGCACCCACGTGGGAGACCAGGAGAAGCTCCTGGCTCTTGGCTTCCGCCTGGCCCAGCTCTACCTGCTGCGCCCATTTGGGGAGTGAACCAACTGATGAAAGATCTATCTCTATAAATACATAAATCTTAAATCAGGTTTTTATTTATTTATTTTTTTTTTTGACAGGCAGAGTGGACAGTGAGAGAGAGAGACAGAGAGAAAGGTCTTCCTTTGCCGTTGGTTCACCCTCCAATGGCCGCCGCGGCTGGCGCACCGCGCTGATCCAATGGCAGGAGCCAGGAGCCAGGTGCTTTTCCTGGTCTCCCATGGGGTGCAGGGCCCAAGCACCTGGGCCATCCTCCACTGCACTCCCTGGCCACAGCAGAGAGCTGGCCTGGAAGAGGGGCAACCGGGACAGAATCCGGCACCCCGACCGGGACTAGAACCCGGTGTGTCAGCGCCGCTAGGCGGAGGATTAGCCTAGTGAGCCGCGGCGCCGGCTTAAATCAGGTTTTTAAAAAAACCACTGATGTTGGGTGAAAAGAGTAAGCGAGCGTGGAGCTGGTGTCAGGTTCCAGCCGGACACTCAGGGTGACCAGATGGAAGGGCCCCCCTGCCCCCTGCCAGCACCGGTCACCAGAGTGACCAGATGGAAGGCCCCCCGCCAGCACCAGTCACTCTGCCTCTAAAGAGAACTCCCTATCCCCGTGCGTGCGTGCGTGCGTGTGGGGGTTCCGGAGCCTCCCGGGTCTGGGGTCCTGATGGCTGTGGTGACTGTCTTGCAGGAAAAACATGCAGAGGAACAAACAGGTAGCCATGGGCAGGAAGAAATTTAACATGGACCCTAAAAAGGTGAGTAAAAGGCAAGAGACGGCGTCCACAGCGCTCGCGTGGGCTCACGTAGAGCCTGAGTGAGCCGAGTGGAGCGGGCGCGGGCGAGCCTTGCCCCTGAGCTGCGACCCGCCAGACCTCTTGTGTCCGCTGCCCCCCCGTCCGGGCGCCCACATCACGTCCCCTCTGGACGCGCTCGCCGTCTCCCAGGGCATCCAGTTCCTGATAGAGAGCGACCTGCTGAAGGGCTCATGCGAGGACCTCGCGCAGTTCCTGTACAAGGGCGAAGGGCTCAGCAAGACGGCCATCGGCGACTACCTGGGGGAGAGGTCAGTCTCGGACCCGCGGGGGCTGCGAAGGCCGGGGAGGAGCGAGGTCAGGAAGCCAGCTCCGCAGGGCCGCTGCTGTGGGGTAGCGGGTGAAGCCACCATCTGCAGCGCCTGCGTCCCACGTGGGCACCAGTTTGAGCCCTGGTTGTTCCACTTGCAGTCCAGCTCCCTGCTAATGCACCTGGGAGAGCAGCAGCAGACGCCCAAGTGCTGGGCCCTGCACCCGTGTGGGAGACCTGAAGAAGCTCCTGGCTTCAGACTGGCCCAGCTCCGGCTGTTGCAGCCATTTGGGGAGTGAACCAGAGGATAGAAGACCTCTCTCTCTCTCTCTCTAACTCTGCCTTTCAAATACACAAATAAATGTTTACAATTAAAAAAAAAAAACCAACTCCTAAGTGCTTCAAGTTCTGGGAGAGGTTTTTAGGAGTTATTTAATTATTTACTTTCACTTTAATTTGAAAGACAGAGTTCTCCCAACCTCTGATTCCCTCCGCAAATGCCTGCACATCCTAGGGCTGGACCAGGCCAAAGCTGGGAGTCCAGAACCCAGCCTGGGTCCCCGGCACGGGTGGCAAGGACCAAACACCTGAGCCGTCATCCTCCCAGAGTGCGCACTGGTGGGAGCAGGAATCGGAAGTGGAGCGGGCCGTGACGCCCAGCACGGCGACGCGGGACGCAGGCACCCCCGGTGGTGGCCTAACCATCGCACCAAAAGCCTCCCTGGGAGCGAGTGCTCCCAGTGCAGAGGGCCGGCTTGTCCGCAGGACAGTCGCTGCTCTGTCCAGAGCAGGAGGACACTTGCTTGTTCAGTCAGCAAACGGGCAGCCCGGCCTCTTCCCGACAGTGTGGCCACGAGACCCGGCCGGGCTGTCAGCGGGGACGCCTGACTCCTGTGTCCCCCGTCCGTGTCTTTTCTTGGCAGAGATGAGTTCAACATCCAGGTTCTTCATGCGTTCGTGGAGCTGCATGAGTTCACGGATCTGAACCTGGTCCAGGCGCTGCGGTGAGTCAGGGTGAGGGGCGGCCTCGGCCAGGCGCTGCGGTGAGTTGGGGTGAGGGGCGGGCCTCGGCCAGGCGCTGCGGTGAGTCGGGGTGAGGGGCGGGCCTCGGCCAGGCGCTGCGGTGAGTCGGGGTGAGGGGCGGGCCTCGGCCAGGCGCTGCGGTGAGTCGGGGTGAGGGGCGGGCCTCGGCCGTGTGTCTGTGCTGTGTGCTGTTTGGTTGAAATGATCTCTTTGGAAGTTATTTAAATGTCTTGAAGAGTTTTAAAGGAAAGCAGTCGGTCTTCCTGTAGCTGGAAGTGATTGGATGAGCAAAGGGAAGTAAGTTAAGATAGACCCAAAGCAGCTTCTGCAGCACCCCCCCCCCCCCGCCCCGGTCTCCATCTCGGAAACTGGTGAAAACGCGTACATTTTGAAGTCTTCAGTTTAGAAAACCCTTTTAATTCCCTGCGCTTGTGCATTGCATTTCTTCCTAGAAAGAAACTTTAAATTTTTTTTTTTTTTTTTTTTTTTTGCTAAACTGAGCCTTTTTGCTAAACTGGCGGCCTCATCGTTTGTGGACAACGCCGTCTTGTGCTGTCCGTTAGACAGGTTTCTGTCCGCCGTGGCCTCTCTCTGACGTAAAGGGAGCAGCTCTGAGAGCTGTGGTTTTCCTCTCCTGCCGCGCTGCCTTGTTTTCTGGAAACCGGAGTTTGTTTAAGATCAGCTCCGTCTGTGTTTCAGTTCTGTGTTGTTTTAGGAGGAGAGCGTTCTGTTGAATAGGAAAACCTTCACTTTCCCTAAGTCCTGTACCTTCGATGCTGGCACCGGTGGTCCGGGTGGCAAGTCTGGGGAGAGTCGTGTGACGGGGCTGAAGGCCAGGTCTCTTCTGTCCCTGGACACTGAGTTCCGGGGGACGTGAGCCGTCTCCAGCCCTGCCCCGCCCTCCCTTCACCCTCAGGCAGTTCCTGTGGAGTTTCCGGCTCCCTGGAGAGGCCCAGAAGATCGACCGGATGATGGAGGCCTTCGCGCAGCGGTACTGCCAGTGCAACCCTGGGGTGTTCCAGTCCACGGGTGAGTGGGACTCGTCCCAGCACAGGGTGCTAACCTCTACCACACCAGGGCTGGGGCCCATGCACACTCCACAGTAGAAAGTCGGAAATGATCCAGAACCCCTGCAGTAGGCACTAGGAATATAATTTGTAGTAACTCAGAACTGTGAAACACAAGGCTATGAAGAATCGTGTTTGTAACACTTATTTTATATATTTGAAAGGCTTTCAGAGAGGGAGAGGGAGAGCGAGGTCTTCCATCCTCTGGTTCCCTCCCCAAATAGTTGCAGTGACTGGAGCTGAGCTGATCTGAAGCCAGGAGCCAGGAGCTTCTTCCAGGTCTCCCACACAGGTGCAGGGGCACAAGCACTTAGCCTCTTCTACTGCTTTCCCAGGCCACAGCAGAGAGCTGGACTGGAAGTGGAGCAGCCAGGACTCAAACCGGCACCCATATGGGATGCCGGCACTGCAGGCCGCCAGTGCCGTAACCCACTGCACCACAGCACCAGTCCTGCTATTAAACCTTGTGAAGAATTTTTACATCCCGGCTAATGATAAGATGAGCAGAAGTGCATATGTGTGTGTCTGATTGCGGTGCTAGTGCAGTGTGTGTCTGTGAGGTGCTTTTCTGATTTCGGACACACAGGCACATTCATGTAGAAGAAATAAAGCAAAATAAGTGAACAGTGGAAGTTTAGGTAATTTGTATTTTCTTTTTAGTTTTTTAAAAGATTTATTTATTTCTTTGAAAGGCAGAGTTAGAGAGAGAGAGGAAGAGACAGAGACAAAGAGAGAGAAATCTTCCATCCACTGGTTCACTCCCCAAATAGCTGCAAAGGGGCCTGTTTGAAGTCCAAAGTCTGGAGCTTCATCTGGGTCTCCTGTGTGGGTGCAGGGTCCCAAGGACTTGGGCCATCGTCCACTGCTTTCCCAGGCCATTAACAGGGAGCTGGATCAGAAGTGGAGCAGCCGGGACTCAAACTGGTGCCCATATGGGACGCCGGCACTGCATACGGCGGCTTTACCCGCTACACCGCAGTGCTGGCCCCAATTATGTTGTTTTTTAAGATTGTCTACAGCATACTCTCATTCTGAGTGAGCGTCCTTTGAGACTAGTGTTCTCTGTACTTTGAGAGGCGCAGCCCAGAGCCGCCCCACGCGTGATCCCCCTCGCCTGCACGCGCAGCCTTTGAGCCCCCGTTTCCCTGGCCGTTCTCACGCTTCTGGGTGGGGTGTGTCTGTGCGCTTGGAGCACACCCAGCCCCCACTCTGTCTCGTCTTCAGACACTTGCTACGTCCTCTCCTTTGCCATCATCATGTTGAACACGAGCCTGCACAACCCCAACGTCAAAGATAAGCCCACCGTGGAGAGGTTCATTGCCATGAACCGAGGCATCAACGACGGAGGCGACCTGCCCGAGGAGCTGCTCCGGGTGAGCCCCGGGTGGCCCTGGTGTCGGTCGCGGGAGCCCCTGGGGTTTAGCGTGGGTCTGTGCTTGCAGGTCGTTCAGCTGTGTGACTTTCCTTAAGAAATGGGTAGCGGGGCCCAGCTAAGGGATTGGGAAGGGGCTGTGGTTTGGTACGGCTTCCTGGTCACCCCCCGGATGTCTGTGTCTGTCTCGTCACATGAGCTGCTGGAGGCAGACCTGGCCCCATCCTTCTGCTCGCGGAAGCTGGCAGCCGTGGCTCACTGGAGGCCACGCTCAGTGCTGCTGGAGGGAGTGACGAGGAAGGGGAGGGAGAGAGAGATTCCTGGAGTCAGAGACATGCAGTGTCGTCTTTTATCCAGAATCTGTATGAGAGCATAAAAAATGAACCCTTTAAAATCCCAGAGGATGATGGGAATGACCTCACTCACACCTTCTTCAATCCAGACCGAGAAGGCTGGCTGCTGAAGCTCGGTGAGTCGTCTCTCTGGGCTGGGTTCCTCAGGCAGGGACTAAGAAGGGGAGGCCGTGTGCACACACATGATGGAGGGACACTGTGCACACATGGTGGGGGAGGCTGTGTGCACATGGTGGGGGGAGGCTCTGTGCACACACATGATGGAGGGACACTGCACACATGATGGGGGAGGCTGTGTGCACATGATTGGGGGAGGCTGTGTGCATACATATGATGGGGGAGGCCGTGTGCACTGATGGGGGGAAGCTGTGTGCACACAGATGATAGGGAGAGGCTGTGTGCACACAGATGATAGGGAGAGGCTGTGTGCACACATGATGGGGGAGGCCGTGTGCACACACATGGTGGGGGGACACTGTGCACACACACGATGGGGGAGGCCGTGTGCACACACACGATGGGGGAGGTCGGGTCACGGGGTGTTCCGCAGGTGACTGGACGTCTGTTCCTGTGGTTCCTGTGGGACACCAGGACTACTGGGGACGGACAGGCCCCCTAATTCTTGTGGCGTGTCTGCCCCACGTGTCCACTCGAGAATCCATGTCCCGGTTCTGTCTCAAGGCCGCTCCTTGAGGACATGGCGTCCTCTTGCTGCCGCCTTGCCCGGTGGGGGTGCCCAGCCGCTCCATCCTTCTACCCCGTCACACAGACCTGGCCCTCCTGCCTCCCACCCATGCGTCCTCACTCCCTCCTGCCTCTGCTCCCACAGGCAGCGTGCATGGCAAGCCTAGAGCCTGGCTGCTGCTCAGCCCACAGCACTCCTCATTCTCGGGCAGCGGTTTACCCCTTCCTTTCCAGTCCGGATCGGCTGCATTAGTGGTTTTTGTTCATTCGGAATGTTGACAACGTGCTCCTCTTTCCCTGCTGGACGTGAGCGTGGATCACTGAGACTTGTGGTCGTGGCTTGCCGGGAAGGCAACAGTCACCCAGAGGGAGAGAGGGGTCAGCAGGACTTTGACGCACCTGCTGCACGGGGGCTCTCACTGATGGTCCCAGAGCGCAGAGCTCCGGACTTGTCCAGGATGCTGGCCACTGGGAGCGCACTTCCCTGGGTCCTGCCCTGGCCTCCGACCGGTTGGGTCCCCACAGGGGCAGGGGGCGTGTGGTAGAACGATGCCCCTCTGCCGTCCCGGCTCCTGGCCCCAGTGAGGAGGAGCCGTTCCTGTCAGCACTACTGGTGCCGCTGGCAAGGCTGAAGCGGAGTCCGATCCCTGACCAGTTCAGACAGTGGGAGTCACGCGTTCTGCAGTGCGTCCCGCGTCCTTGTGTGGTGGGTGGTGACTGCGTTCCTAGACTCCCCCCGCAGCACCACTCCACCGAGGGCACCTTCACTTTCCTCTTTACTTGGCTGCCGCTGCATTTGTCTTCAGGCCGGCAGAATCTGAAATTAAGGTTCTGAACTTACTCAGGCCACAGGCGCCCTCTGTCCGCATCCTGTCGCCTGCTGGAAATGTTACAGTCTGTCCGAGTTTGGACTTACTCCCCTGGAGTGAAATCTGTTAAGCTGCTAATGCCCTGTTAGCTTTGACAGCCCAGATGCTAAGATTAGAACAGTACAAAGATTATCTTGGTTTTTGCACCAGGATGGCATGCAAATGCATGAGACTTCCCACATTTTTAAAAAGAAAGAAACATTAACCAAATTTGGGACTCTTTTAGGCAACTGCATTACTTTTTCTAACCCTCCACCAAACCCTTCGAACGCCAGGTAGTAGGTTTCGTTGCAGCACACGTGGAATCCCTGCTCTGTGTCTGTGCTGCAGAAGGCAGGACTTCTGCCGCCCCAGCCTCCGTACCCGTCTGTGTGCACACAGCCATGAGAGTGTGTGCTCTGTGTACACTCTGCGCATGTGTTTTTGTGGGTGTGTGTGCATTCTTACACACACTTAAAAGAGTGACAGCCACCTAAAGAGAGGCCAGAGTCACCTTTTTTCTCTTTGCTCTGGATTTTAAATACATGAATACATGTTGGCTTTCTAAAAACTGGCTTGTGGCATCTGTGGGGCCGGATTTTCAGTAGCGGCTCAAATCACGCCCTTAGCAGATAGGATGTAGCATATAAGACGAGCCCCCCCCCCCATTTGCACACCGCACAGCGGCAGGCGGTCCATGGCGTCTAGGATGAGCCCCCGCTTTGCTCACCACACGTGGTCCAGTGCCCACATTTGCAGGCTCAGCTCCCACCCTAGCGAGACATGACTGTGACTGATGCGTTGTGCTTGAAGATTAAGGAATTGGGTTTAATTTCTTTGTTTTAATTTTCTTTTCTCCCTCATTTGTATGTTCCCATGATTTGGCTCTCCTTCCCTTCCCCATCTCCAGGAGGTATGTAACCCGCAGCCTGCTCGCTCGCTCTGCCCAGCCACTGTCGCCGCCGCAGCCTTCTCCTGTTCTGTTGTTTTGGTTATTTGTTTTTAATCGCTGGTGGTAGTGTTAATGCTGCTTCTAACTCACGTGCAGTCCCTTGGGAACTGGTCAGGATCAGGGGTTCCGAGCCGCTTTCCCGTCTCCCATTTTGGAGGGGTGAAGGATACATCAGACAGGCAAGGACCGCCAAGAGGAAAGCGGAAAGCGAAGCTCCCAGGGAGCGCAGGGGTGCGGAGGGCCTGCCAGGGGTTTGTGGGCGTGCTCACTGCACTCCCCTTCCGGGTCCTGACACCCAGGATCCGGCGGCGCCCAGAGCGATGGCAGAAGGGGAACAGAGGAAGAGGGAGCAGGTGGCAGCTCCCACACGGACGAGCAAGCTGGGAGCAGGTTCAGGTTCGGGGGAAGTGGTGTTCCCTAAGCCCACAATGATGGCAAGCGAAGTTAAGAAACCAGCAACCCCCAGCTGCTGTCCTGGATGCCACGCGGTGGCAGTCGGGAGGCCGTCCAGGGCCCCTTGGTCACGTCCTTGGCGTCCGCCGTCCATCTGCTGACTGGGGAGAAGGCACCCTCAGCCAGAGCGGCCCAGGCTTGTGCCTCAGCGTGACTGGAGCAGAGCTTGCCCTACCGGGATAAGCCCAGCACGGACGGTGTTCAGAGGCCCACTCTGGGGACCCGCCGGGTGTTGACTCCAGGGGCCCAGCAGGGCGAGCTCAGGAGTGGCCGAGCCACGCGGGGGAGGTGGTCCTGTGAGTTCCACAGGGACTGTCCCAGGCGCACGTCGGTCTGTCTGCTTGTTTGTGTCTGGTTTTCTTCCCACGTGGAGCTGTGGTGCCCGCGCCTCGTGCAGAGAGCTCTGGGACCCAAGTTGTCCGGAAGAAATAACCAAGCTTTTGCCATCAGGCATAGATTTTTTTTTCCCAGCTTTGCTTTTTCTCTTTGATTTCCTTCCATCTCGTTCCTTTTGGCATCCTACATGCTTTCCCATGATCTCCTGCGTCCCGAGGGTGCCCCCGGGTGGTGTCCTGTGGTGCAGTCCGCGGGACCGGCAGCCGAGGACCCTGAGATGGAGGGAGGGGCTCCAGTGTGAACTGCACCTGCGTCCCTTGCTCCTCCTTGTTTGTTTGGGCCCCTCCCACCTGTTCCTGGCTTGCCCATGCATGCCGTCTCATCCAGCGGTGGGTTTTCCTTAGCTCATGCCTTACAGCCTTGGGGACCAGAGGCAGGTGCTCACGTACAACCCCCACATCGCCGTGAGTCTCCCGCGGCTCCATACCAGGGCAGGACGGGCTGGGCACGTGGCAACTCCGTCTCATAACCGCAGGATGTGTCGTGCAGACCTGAGCAGTTCACGGTCAGCCGCTGAGCACCCCGAGAGTTGAGGTGCCCAGGCAGAGCCGCAGACAGCTCGGAAGTCCACGGTGCTTACTCCGTGGCTGCCAGGCCTGTGCCAGGCATTTCTGCCCCACAGCACGGACTGCAGGCAGAGCCCGGCAGCTGGCCTTTGTCCCTACACATCCACTCTGTTCTTTGTGAGCCGTTTGTGATGAGGGCCTGAGAAGACAGGATTTGGGGCGCCTACAGACTGGCCCCCAGTCCTTTTGTGGGAATCAAACAAGGGCTGCTCTGTGTCTCTTATGTCTCAGCAAAAAGTGGGGCGTAAGAAGTGTAGAGTGGGGAGGCCTTGGGGGGACGTGGGTGCAGGGTGAGGGGCCCTCAGGGGGACGTGGGTGCAGGGTGAGGGGCCCTCAGGGGGACGTGGGTGCAGGGTGAGGGCCCTCAGGGGGACGTGGGTGCAGGGTGTGGAGCCCTCAGGGGGACGTGGGTGCAGGGTGAGGGGCCCTCAGGGGGACGTGGGTGCAGGGTGAGGGCCCTCAGGGGGACGTGGGTGCAGGGTGAGGGGCCCTCAGGGGGACGTGGGTGCAGGGTGAGGGCCCTCAGGGGGACGTGGGTGCAGGGTGTGGAGCCCTCAGGGGGACGTGGGTGCAGGGTGAGGGGCCCTCAGGGGGACGTGGGTGCAGGGTGAGGGCCCTCAGGGGGACGTGGGTGCAGGGTGAGGGGCCCTCAGGGGGACGTGGGTGCAGGGTGAGGGGCCCTCAGGGGGACGTGGGTGCAGGATGAGGGGCCCTCAGGGGGACGTGGGTGCAGGGTGAGGGCCCTCAGGGGGACGTGGGTGCAGGGTGAGGGGCCCTCAGGGGGACGTGGGTGCAGGGTGAGGGGCCCTCAGGGGGACGTGGGTGCAGGGTGAGGGGCCCTCAGGGGGACGTGGGTGCAGGGTGAGGGGCCCTCAGGGGGACGTGGGTGCAGGGTGAGGGGCCCTCAGGGGGACGTGGGTGCAGGGTGAGGGGCCCTCAGGGGGACGTGGGTGCAGGATGAGGGGCCTTTAGGGGGACGTGGGTGCAGGGTGAGGGGCCCTCAGGGGGACGTGGGTGCAGGGTGAGGGGCCCTTGGGGGGATGTGGGTACAGTGGGGATCCTTAGTGGGGATGTGGGTACAGTGGGGATCCTTAGGGGGGACGTGGGTGCAGGGTGAGGGGCCCTCAGGGGGATGTGGGTGCAGGGGGAGGGGCCCTTAGGGGGGACGTGGGTACAGTGGGGATCCTTAGGGGGGACGTGGGTACAGTGGGGATCCTTAGGGGGGACGTGGGTACAGTGGGGATCCTTAGGGGGGACGTGGGTACAGTGGGGATCCTTGGGGGGCGTGGCTCGTGTTCAGACAGATCTCCCCTGACGCAGGGTAAGCAGGGAAAGAGGCTCCTTGTCCGACGTGAGAGCAGGTGCGGCTCAGTTCAGAGGTCGGGGTTCATCCGTTTTTCCTCCCTGAGGACTCGTCTCAGCACTCGGGACCCCGGCAATCGTGAGAAGGGCCGAGGGGGCTTCGTCAGCTCTGCCCGTGCCCCGCGGCCGCCTCTGCTGAGCAGCCTTTGTTCCAAGGCCGAGGTGGTGAGCCCAGAGGGGCAGGGGCAGGGACTTGGGAGCTGACGTCCCCGTACACGGCCGTTCTTCCTTGGTGGAGTCGCCCTGGGGATTCGCAGCCAGGGCTCTGGGCGATGCCGTTCTCAGGACACGAGCCCAGAGGTGGGGAGCAGCGTAGGGCTTGCCCGCCGTCAGGGAGGAGGGGTAGGGCCACAACGCAGGGATTTGCTGCCGCGTTCCGGGGAAGCAGTCGTCTGGCTGTGAAGGGCCGCGGCGTCTCGCCGCCGTCGCCTCCCTCCGGTCACTTAGCTGGGGCTCCTTGTGTGCCCGGCTGGCTGTCAGTGGCAGCGTGGCCTACAGCAGGGCTGCCCACCCCCCCACCCCCCGTTCTCTGCTCACGTCCCCCACACGGGCCTCCTGCTGAGCTTCCCCAGCCCAGGCAGTTTGGCGTGTGCGTGTGCGTGTGCGTGTGGTTGCCGCCCCGGGTTCTCTCCCCAGACCCATGCTCGCGTCCCGCTGTCCTGGACACGCTTGCTCTGCTTGCGCCCACACTCTCTGTGAGAGCCGCTCTGTCGTGGCTGTGTCTTGTCACTGGTGTGGCTCCTGCCATGGCCCCGCCCTCCCGCCCGCCTCATCGCCCCCGAGGAGAGAGCTCTGTGTGCCGGGGACTCCCACTCGCCTGCCTGTCTCCTGTCGAATGTGCGTCTCTTCTTGCTCGGCAGGTGGCAGGGTCAAGACTTGGAAGAGACGCTGGTTCATCCTGACAGACAACTGCCTTTACTACTTCGAATACACCACGGTGAGCATCCGCCGCGGGCCTGGGGCAGCAGGGGGCGTCCTTCTGTGTCTCGGGGTCGGGGGCTAGCTGCAGCCACGCGGGAAGAACCCTGGTCGCCCTCCGAGTGGGGGTTCTAGAGAGGATGTGTAGCACCTGGCCGAGGACGCGTGGCTGAGTGGGACCCACTTCCAGGGGGACAGCAGACGCCTGGCCTGCAGAGAGGAGCCTGGGGATGGGCCAGCTGCCCAGAGGCGGCTGTGCCCCTGCTGAGGGGGGGGGGCAAGAAAAATGACAGGATGGAGGTTTGCTGGGGGAGCAGAAATGCTAAAGGGTCTGATTCAGAAGGAGCCCAGGGGGCAAAGTACGGGAGGAAGAGACCGGAGAGTGGAATGGGAAAGTTAACTTGAGATCACTTGGAGTTTTGAGAAACTTATATTTTCTTATTTATTTTTTAAAAAGATGTATTTGTTTGAGAGGGAGGGAGAGACACACAGAAAGAGAAAGAACTGCGTCTGCGGGTTCGCCCCCCAGATGGCCACAACAGCCAGCGCTGGGCCAGGCGGGAGCCGGGAGCCGGGAGCTTCCTCCGGGTCTCCCATGTGGGCGCAGGGCCCAAGCACTTGAGGTGTCGTCCACTGCTGTCCCAGGCCACAGCAGGGAGCTGGGTCAGACGCGGAGCAGCTGGGACTCACACCGGCTTACAGCTGCAGGTCTGTAATCAGAGCCTGTGAAGACAGGAGTCCCCAGTGCCGCTCTCTCCAGAGCTCCCTCCCGCAGGCAGGGCACCCAGCAGACCTGGCCGCTCCCGGGGGCGCTGCCCGGGCTCCTGTGCCGGCAGCTCGAGGGCCGGCCGAGAGCAGGGGCTGGGGCTGGCAGACTGCGGCTTCTCCAGACAGGCGTGCTCTGCTCTCGCTCTCCAGCCTGGTCCTGCAGAGGCGGCGGCGACCCTCTGAGGAGGTTGAGATTTGGAAGTATCTTTCCTAGTCAGTGTTAGGCAACAACAGTCACTCCCGGCCTGTGTGTGTCAGCTTGCTGCGGGCCGGGACACAGGTGCACCCTTGGCCTGTTGCTGCTCGCGGGAGAGAGGGTGCAGCCGCGAGCCCCCTTGGGGAGAGGCTGGCTGTGACACCGTGTGGCCACGAGCCCCCACAGGGAGAGAGGCTGGCTGTGGCACTGTGGGGCTGCGAGCCCCCACGGGGAAAGCAGCTGGCCATGGCACCACGCGGCCGTGAGCCCCACGGGGAGAGGCTGGCTGTGGCCCCATGCGGCCGTGAGCCCCCACAGGGAGAGGCTGGCTGTGGCCCCATGCGGCCGTGAGCCCCACAGGGAGAGGCTGGCCGTGGCACCGCGTGGCAGTGAGCCCCACGGGGAGAGGCTGGCTGTGGCACCTTGTGACCGTGAGCCCCCCTCGGGGAGAGCGGCTGGCCATGGCACCATGCGGCCGTGAACCCCACGGGGAGAGGCTGGCCGTGGCACTGTGTGGCCGTGAGCCCCCACGGGGAGAGCAGCTGGCCGTGGCACTGTGTGGCTGTGAGCCCCCACGGGGGAGAGCAGCTGGCCGTGGCACTGTGTGGCTGTGAGCCCCCACGGGGGAGAGCAGCTGGCCGTGGCACCATGCGGCCGTGAACCCCACGGGGAGAGGCTGGCCGTGGCACTGTGCGGCCGTGAGCCCCACGGGGAGAGGCTGGCCGTGGCACTGTGCGGCCGTGAGCCCCCACGGGGAGAGGCTGGCCGTGGCCCCATGCGGCCGTGAGCCCCCACGGTGGGAGGCTGGCCGTGGCACTGTGCAGCCGTGAGCCCCCTCGGGGAGAGGCTGGCCGTGGCACCATGCGGCCGTGAGCTCCCGCGTCGGGGATGAGCTGCAGAATAGCACCAGCTAGTAGTTAGAGTGCACGTGCTGATGGCGTGCTGATGGCGTGCTGCGCGGTGTGCTGTCAGGTGGTCTCCAGGGGAATTCCGTGTGCGCTGTCGGAACTCAGGCCGCGGACTCTGCAGCTGGCAGTACCTTTATGCTGTCCATCTCTTCAGACGTGAGGCGAGATGCCTCAGTGTACAAAGCAACAAAAAGAAAGATTCTCCCTGCCCGCCCCCCACCCAGTGCCACAAGGAGCACCCGGTGCGCTCTCAAATGTCTGTCCACCGTCTCGCCCCAGCGTCCACGTCTGAGGGTCTCACTCTCTCTGAGTGCGCAGGGAGAGAGACAGAGACTCCCATCTGATGGTTCTCTCTCCAGACGCTCACAGCAGCAGCAGGCAGGGCGGGACCAGGTCAGAGCCAGAGCTCCAAGTGGGGCCGGGGCTTGAACCCAGCGCGCTGATGGGAGGCAGACTGGCCCAGATGGTTCTGAACAGGTCAGGGTGACCGAGTGGGCTTCCAGTTACCTGGCAGAGAACGGTAAAAAGTGGGGACACAGAGCAGCCACACACAGAGGGTGTGACCCATCAGAGGCTCTGGCAGGTGCAGTGAGGAGAGAAGCAGTAGCTGGGGGCGGAAGGGGGCTGGCCATTCGGGGCCCTGGTGTGGACGGGGCCCGGCAGCCGCCCCCGTGCGCTGGGTGTGGGAGAAGGCAGCTGGGGTGGGGTGGGTAGAGGCTGTGGCTTGTTATTTCTCTGTCCATCCTCTGTGATCGGGGAGTACCGAGGCTGCTGCTGGCTAGGAACTGGTGGCACAGGGAAAGTGAGTCAGGACTCACTTCCTGTGGCACAGGGGAAGCCCCAAGATTGTGTGTTCAGTTGGGAAAACTCTGGGAGCCTCCCAAGAGTGCCTCACCTCCTCAGATGGATGGAGTGAACCCTGACCTTCGAACGTTCATGATCCCGCAGACGAGTGCCGCCTCCACTCGCCGTTCCCTTATGAGACTGCGGAAAGTGCTAGAACACAAAACCGCCTGTACGCAGCTGAGTGCTTAGAGTGCAGGTGTGGCACAGTCGGGACTCTGGGTTCCCAGAGAGGGAGGCCTCAGACGTGAATCAAATGAGAACCCGAACTGTGTACTTAAAATACAGCCATGTGATTGTAGATTACAGCAGTAACAAGGGGGAGACCCGGAGGCGTGCGGCAGAGTAGCTGACCATGTCGTCACTGCCCCGGAGGGAGGGCCTGGACAGGCCTGTGTGACAGGACGAGCAGGACACAGTTAGAAGCCACAGGCACAGAGGACGAGGGGTGGTCCCGTCCCGGGACCTCTGCCGCCTGCAGGAGCAGACAGGCATGGCGGAGGGAAGGGACCCGGGGTCCGCAAGCCCAAGCGGCGCTCGGGAAACGTCCCAGGGCTTAGTTCTGCTAGGCCCCAGCCCGGAATGAGCGTCTCACTCAGTTGGGAGAGGCAGGTCGCCCCCAGCAGTTTTGCGGGCCAGAGGCTAGTGGGTGAGGGTCTGTGCGGCCTGGAGGGCGGGGTGACACAGCGTGCCATCCAGGGGCCTCGCTGCCCTCGAGGAGCTGCTGCGTGGTGAGCAGACTCGGGGAGCACTGTCAGATGGAAACCGGGTGCGTTCCGAAGAGAGAACGGGTCCAGCCTCGTGAGGCTCTTCTGGAGCCTTCTGTTTGTTCTAGAGTTGATGAGGCTATCCCAGGGCTCCCCTCTCGGGAGAGGCGTTGGCGCTGAAGCGCAGGGCTGGGTGTTTGTTCAGCCGTGATGGAGTGTGGGAAGACTTCGCACCTGTGGTCTTTTCTGCACTGTCTCGAGTTTCTTTTGATGAGCAAATACGATTCTTTACAAAAGCGATGTCAGTTGTTCTTAAAGAAAAATTACAAAGCCAACGATGTCCCCTCCGTGGGACAGAGGCAGTTATGGGCGGAAGGCGCTGGTGTGGGGTGCACCGGCCGTCCCTGGGCTGGGCCTCCCACTGGAGCTCCAGGACGAGGGTCCTCGGCCCTGGTGACACGGGACCTCCGCGTGCAGCCTGCGGATCAGTGGCTGTCCCGCAGGCCCTGGCGCCTTCTGGTGGCGCCTTCTGGGGCAGCAGGTTGAGCGCAGGAGAGGAGCTGCGCAGCCAGCGGTGTGCTGGGCCCGGCAGGCGAGGCCGGAGCGGGAGTGGTACTGGGCTCTCCGCTGGTCCCCCAGCGATTCCGAGGCTGGAGCGGGGTGGTACTGGGCTCTCCCCCAGCGATTCCGAGGCCGGAGCGGGAGTGGTACTGGGCTCTCCCCCAGCGATTCCGAGGCCGGAGCGGGAGTGGTACTGGGCTCTCCCCCAGCGATTCCGAGGCCGGAGCGGGAGTGGTACTGGGCTCTCCCCCAGCGATTCCGAGGCCGGAGCGGGGGTGGTACTGGGCTCTCCCCCAGCGATTCCGAGGCCGGAGCGGGAGTGGTACTGCGCTCTCCCCAGCGATTCCGAGGCCGGAGCGGGAGTGGTACTGGGCTCTCCCCCAGCGATTCCGAGGCCGGAGCGGGGGTGGTACTGGGCTCTCCGCTGGTCCCCCCAGCGATTCCGAGGCCGGAGCGGGAGTGGTACTGCGCTCTCCGCTGGTCCCCCAGCGATTCCGAGGCCGGGAGCGGGGGGTGGTACTGGGCTCTCCGCTGGTCCCCCAGCGATTCCGAGGCCGGAGCGGGAGTGGTACTGGGCTCTCCGCTGGTCCCCCAGCGATTCCGAGGGCCGGAGCGGGAGTGGTACTGGGCTCTCCGCTGGTCCCCCAGCGATTCCGAGGCCGGAGCGGGAGTGGTACTGGGCTCTCCGCTGGTCCCCCAGCGATTCCGAGGCCGGAGCGGGAGTGGTACTGGGCTCTCCGCTGGTCCCCCAGCGATTCCGAGGCCGGAGCGGGGTGGTACTGGGCTCTCCCCCAGCGATTCCGAGGCCGGAGCGGGAGTGGTACTGGGCTCTCCCCCAGCGATTCCGAGGCCGGAGCGGGAGTGGTACTGGGCTCTCCCCCAGCGATTCCGAGGCCGGAGCGGGGGTGGTACTGGGCTCTCCCCCAGCGATTCCGAGGCCGGAGCGGGAGTGGTACTGGGCTCTCCCCCAGCGATTCCGAGGCCGGAGCGGGAGTGGTACTGCGCTCTCCCCCAGCGATTCCGAGGCCGGAGCGGGAGTGGTACTGGGCTCTCCCCCAGCGATTCCGAGGCCGGAGCGGGGGTGGTACTGGGCTCTCCGCTGGTCCCCCCAGCGATTCCGAGGCCGGAGCGGGAGTGGTACTGCGCTCTCCGCTGGTCCCCCAGCGATTCCGAGGCCGGAGCGGGGGTGGTACTGGGCTCTCCGCTGGTCCCCCAGCGATTCCGAGGCCGGAGCGGGAGTGGTACTGGGCTCTCCGCTGGTCCCCCAGCGATTCCGAGGCCGGAGCGGGGTGGTACTGCGCTCTCCGCTGGTCCCCCAGCGATTCCGAGGCCGGAGCGGGGGTGGTACTGGGCTCTCCGCTGGTCCCCCAGCGATTCCGAGGCCGGAGCGGGAGTGGTACTGGGCTCTCCGCTGGTCCCCCAGCGATTCCGAGGCCGGAGCGGGAGTGGTACTGGGCTCTCCGCTGGTCCCCCAGCGATTCCGAGGCCGGAGCGGGAGTGGTACTGGGCTCTCCGCTGGTCCCCCAGCGATTCCGAGGCCGGAGCGGGAGTGGTACTGGGCTCTCCGCTGGTCCCCCAGCGATTCCGAGGCCGGAGCGGGAGTGGTACTGGGCTCTCCGCTGGTCCCCCAGCGATTCCGAGGCCAGAGCGGGAGTGGTACTGGGCTCTCTGCTGGTCCCCCCAGCGATTCCGAGGGTCTCCTTAGGGTCCAGCCTCCACTCCAGACTGAAGAGCACAGGGAGAACACGCCTCAGTGCCAAGGGAGCCTGATGTGCCAGGCCCGCGAGGCTGCGTGTAATGAAGTCACGTCCTCATTGAGGCCCAGACTGTGAGAGCTCTTAGCCTGCGCACCCACTGTCTCCACTCAGCAATCCTCAGGGTCCAGAAAGCCCGAGAAACGAGAGTGGAGGAGGTGGAAGCCAGGCCCAGGGAACCGACTGAGCTGTTTAGGAACCAGGTCAGCGCCTCCCTCGCCGCGGCCCCTCCAGCCCCCAGGGGACGGCAACACTGGGCACTTCCGGGCAGACCGGGTGTGGGAGCTTCGTACCTGCTGGATCCTAGGTGAGAGCAGAGTGCCTGCGCCCCTCAGCCCTCAGAGTGCAGCTGGCAGGTAGTGGGGCGACGGCTGTAACCCTGGCGAGAGAGGCCGGCGCCCCACACACGGCCCGCCGGGGAGTTCCCTGTGCACGGGCCCCGGAGCCCCACACACACGGCCCGCCAGGGAGTTCCCGGTGCACGGGCCCCGGAGCCCCACACACACGGCCCGCCAGGGAGTTCCTGGTGCACGGGCCCCGGAGCCCCACACTCACGGCCCGCCAGGGAGTTCCCGGTGCACGGGCCCCGGAGCCCCACACTCACGGCCCGCCAGGGAGTTCCCGGTGCACAGCCCCGGAGCCCAGTCAGCTCAGTCCCCTGCTCCTCCAGTCACTCACCGGAGTCCCTGGTCTTGGAGGCAGGCCCCCAGCTGTAGAGCAGGTGGAGACCAGAGCAGCTGGGAGGAGAGAGACTGAGAGGGGAGGAAGGCCCCACGCCCACCCCCACCCCCACCCACAGAGGCTGTGAGACAGGAACAGGATCCAGAGCAAAGCCATCTGGAGCCACTCTCGGAAACTAAGAGTGTTAGGAGAAAACGCTTGGCAGAAAACACCAAGAAAATCTCGCGGGAGGACCCAAGGCAGAGGGGTGGGAATGGCGCGGGGAGAGCTGGTCCAGGAGGCCCGGCGGGCTCGGGAGAGCCGAGAGCAGGAACCGTGGCGGCGCGTTCTCTGTGCTTGGTGCCCTGGGACCACATCCACAGCCCCAGGGAGTCTCCAGGCTCCAGGCGGCGCGAAACAGGCACAGGCAGAGCCCCCCCCCCATCAGTGACAGGCTCGCCGGAGAGCGGAGGCCTGGTGCGCCGGCCTCTGCGTGTGGAGGAGTGATGTTTGCAGCCAAACCACAGCCAACTGTGAGGAGCACACGGCCATGCTGCCAAGCAGGCCGGCCCGCGGCGGTGCCGCCACCCACCCAGCCCATCTCGGGCGCTGGTGGAGGTGTGCTTGCGGGGGGGGGGGGGGGGGGGGGGGCGGGGGGGGCGGGGGGTGCCGAGCAGAAGTGGGAGAGGACCGAGGGCGGGCTCAGGGATGGGGAAGGGTGCGCCACAGCACTGTAGCAGGAAGTGAGGCCGTCCGTTCTGGGGCAGGTCCAGAGGCTTCGGGAGAGCTGTCTTCGGGAACCTGCAGTGGGGTTGGTTCCACGATGGCAGAGCAGGGAGGGAGCTGACTGCTCTAGCCCAGGAGAAGGCAGTTTAAAAAGTGGAGAGCGTGCGGCCTCAGGGAGGAGTGAGGGGGAAACGGCAGAGGAAACTCTACCGAAATTAGAGGACACAGAGGACCTACGTGGAGGGCGTGGGCGCCCACACTTGGGACCGCAGCAGCCGAGAGCCTGCGCACCAGCGCCGGAGAGTGAGGGGAGACCAGACCGCGGCAGCCGAGCCACTGGTGCCAAAGCTGCAGGAAGAGCCTAGAGGGAGCCCGGCTTGGAGCCCCGTGGCGGACAGTGCGCCAGCCAAAGTGGAGGAGAAAAAAAAACCACACACACACACAAAAGAGCAGCACGGGCACGTTTCTCTCTCCCCTGCGTCCTGTAACAAGCCGATAGAGCGGGCGCCAGTTTGGACATACGTAGCAGCTGTGCCAGCTCGTGTCTGCGCCCAGCAACAGCCGAGCGGGGCTCCTGACACGTGGGGAGAAGTCACAGGGGCTGGCAGCTTGTGACTGTGAGCTTCTGCACCAGGACTGTGACAAAAACAGGCGGTGGGGGGGACTCACAGTGTGGCTGGGACTTGGAGAAGTCTCTGGGGAGACGCCGCAAGCTCAGGCGGCCCTGGCTACCCGGTGAGAGATGTGGCTGGGGAATCGGGACTTACGCAGAGGACGGCGCAGATCCTTTGTGTGGTCCCCGGCACAGAGCGGACGAGTATCACAGCCGCTGGGCAGCGCTCAGGCAGTCTCCATTCTCCATGGAGAAGAGCCCAGCTGAGCAGAACAAACCTCCTTCTGATTGAAAAAAAAAAAAGAGAGAGAGAGGAGGTGTACTACACCAAACCTGGATGTGTCACCTTAGGCACGCTGAACAGAGCTCCCTGGCCACACCCCCACAGCCTCGGGAGATTCACTGAAAGTAGACTTACCTACAGGGTCATAGTACAAAGATAACAGCCATCACAGCAACAACAAAAGAACCTGAAATTATGGGATGCCCTGGGCTGCCCAGCGTGAGAGGTTTCAGCAAGAGTGACACGTGTGCAGCGGGCTTGGGTCGAATGCTAACTGTGGCTCCGAGAGAGGAAGGTGGGGGCCGGCGCTGTGGCGTGGTGGGCTGAGCCTCCACCTGCAGTGCCAGCACCCCAGCGGGCATCAATTCACGTCCCGGCTGCTCCACCTCCCATCCAGCTCTCTGCTGTGGCCTGGGAAAGCAGTAGAAGACGGCCCAAGTGCTTGGGCCCCTGCACCCACGTGGGAGACCTGGGAGAAGCTCCTGGCTCCTGGCTTCGGATTGGCTCAGCTTTGGTCATTGAGGCCATCTGGGGAGTGACCCAGCAGATGGAAGACCTTTCTGGCTGTCTCTACCTCGCAAATAAAAGAAAGATTTTTTTTTTTTTTGGGCGGGGGAAGGAAAGTTTGGAAGGTTACTGTGTGGCACAGTCTGAAATGCAGAGTGGTGCTAGTGAAAACTGGCTTGAGGGAGCTGGGGGTGTGAGTGCTGGGCGGGGGGGGGGGGGGGGGCGGGACCCTGCTGGGTGGGAGGAGCTGAAGCCTCTTCAGGTAGCATCTAAGCCCCGGGACAGGGAGCCCGCTGAGCCACGGGCTGCCGCTTTTGTAAAGTTTGTAAAACTGGTTGACTTTTCACACTTGGTGTCTGTGTAACAATCAAACGTAGAAAGCCGAGACGTGGTGGGCCTTGTTGGTTAGCTGGATGTTGGGGGTCAGGGGTGTGAAGACTCGTGATGAGCGAGCACACTTGCAGTGCCTTTGCTGATGTGGTGGGGGTTCCAAGAGCACCTGTTGGGGTGAGGGCAGGGTGCTCCGTGTTCCGGACACGTTGAGGTGCCTTTCTGGATCGAGGAGGAATGGTCAGGAAGGCGGCGTCTCCTCAAGGCCCTGTAAGCCCAGTCTGGCAGTGGGAGGAGGGCTGGAGACCGTGGCTGTGTGACGGTCGGTGACAGCTGCAGTGCCGGGCAGTGGCTGTGTGACGGTCGGTGACAGCGGCAGTGCCGGGCAGTGGCTGTGTGACGGTCGGTGGCAGCTCCAGTCCTGGGCGCAGGAGAGGCTCCAGGAACTGCTGAGCTAGAGCTGAGGCTCCGATGAGTAGAAGGGGGGAGGCGCCCCCTTGTCGGGGCGGGGGAAAAAGAGCTCACGCATTCCCACGTGAGCCCCGCCCCCCGGCCACCCGGTGTTCTCTCGGGGCGGCTGCCGAGTCTGCTCGGCCGTGTGTCATGTCCACAGCAGCCGCACGCTTCTCAACCCGGTTCTTTAGGGCCTGGGGACCTCAAGCTGGTTTGGGAAGTGGCTCAGTGGGAGAAGCAAGACAGTGAGGACGAGGGTGAGGCCGTCACGGTGTATCTGCCCTCACTGAGTGCATCCGCTCTGCATCTGTCCTGCAGGATAAGGAGCCCCGTGGGATTATCCCGCTCGAGAATCTGAGTATCCGGGAGGTGGAAGACTCCAAAAAACCAGTGAGTGGCGTGGGGTGTTCTGAAGGGGGGGATGGGTACCGGAGTTCCTGAACGAATGAACTCCAAAGGTTTTTGGAAAAAGACTGAGAAACCTGGAAAGTTCTACAGTGCCTTCAACTCAGCCTCACTCTTTTCTTGACGACTTTTGCTATTCAAAGATGAGGCTGTGAAAAACCTGCGTTCACCTGGTCTTGTTTACCATCACTGAGCGTCCTGTGAGGTGTACACACTGCCCCTCCTTCGGTGGCAGCAGTACCTAGGACTGGGCCGCTTGTTTATAATCTTGTACATATCTCCCCATTGCTTTGAGTGTGACTTCACTGGACTGGCTTTAAAAAGCTTTGTCACCCGTGGTCCTGTCTGTATCTGATGTGTGTTAGTGGAGCCGTGTGTGCCTGGTTGTCACCTGTGGTCCTGTCTGTCTGATGTGTGTTGGGGTGGAGCCGTGTGTGCCTGGTTGTCACCCGTGGTCCTGTCTGTGTCTGATGTGTGTTAGTGGAGCCGTGTGTGCCTGGTTGTCACCTGTGGTCCTGTCTGTGTCTGATGTGTGTTGGGGTGGAGCCGTGTGTGCCTGGTTGTCACCCGTGGTCCTGTCTGTATCTGATGTGTGTTAGTGGAGCTGTGTGTGCCTGGTTGTCACCCGTGGTCCTGTCTGTATCTGATGTGTGTTAGTGGAGCCATGTGTGCCTGGTTGTCACCCGTGGTCCTGCCTGTATTTGGTGTGTGTTGGGGTGGAGCCGTGTGTGCCTGGTTGTCACCCGTGGTCCTGCCTGTATTTGGTGTGTGTTGGGGTAGATCTGTGTGTGCCTGGTTGTCACCCGTGGTCCTGTCTGTATCTGATGTGTGTTAGTGGAGCCGTGTGTGCCTGGTTGTCACCCGTGGTCCTATCTGTATCTGGTATGTGTTAGTGGAGCCGTGTGTGCCTGGTTGTCACCCGTGGTCCTGTCTGTATCTGATGTGTGTCAGTGGAGCCGTGTGTGCCTGGTTGTCACCCGTGGTCCTGTCTGTATCTGATGTGTGTTAGTGGAGCTGTGTGTGCCTGGTTGTCACCCGTGGTCCTGTCTGTATCTGATGTGTGTTGGGGTGGAGCCGTGTGTGCCTGGTTGTCACCCGTGGTCCTGTCTGTATTTGGTGTGTGTTAGTGGAGCCGTGTGTGCCTGGTTGTCACCCGTGGTCCTATCTGTATCTGGTATGTGTTAGTGGAGCCGTGTGTGCCTGGTTGTCACCCGTGGTCCTGTCTGTATCTGGTGTGTGTTAGTGGAGCTGTGTGTGCCTGGTTGTCACCCGTGGTCCTGTCTGTATCTGATGTGTGTCAGTGGAGCCGTGTGTGCCTGGTTGTCACCCGTGGTCCTGTCTGTATCTGATGTGTGTCAGTGGAGCCGTGTGTGCCTGGTTGTCACCCGTGGTCCTGTCTGTATCTGATGTGTGTTAGTGGAGCCGTGTGTGCCTGGTTGTCACCCGTGGTCCTGTCTGTATCTGATGTGTGTTGGGGTGGAGCCGTGTGTGCCTGGTTGTCACCCGTGGTCCTGTCTGTATTTGGTGTGTGTTAGTGGAGCCGTGTGTGCCTGGTTGTCACCCGTGGTCCTGTCTGTATCTGATGTGTGTTAGTGGAGCCGTGTGTGCCTGATTGTCACCCGTGGTCCTGTCTGTATCTGATGTGTGTTGGGGTGGAGCCGTGTGTGCCTGGTTGTCACCCGTGGTCCTATCTGTATCTGGTATGTGTTAGTGGAGCCGTGTGTGCCTGGTTGTCACCCGTGGTCCTGTCTGTATCTGGTGTGTGTTAGTGGAGCTGTGTGTGCCTGGTTGTCACCCGTGGTCCTGTCTGTATCTGGTGTGTGTTAGTGGAGCCGTGTGTGCCTGGTTCTCACCCGTGGTCCTGTCTGTATCTGATGTGTGTCAGTGGAGCCGTGTGTGCCTGGTTGTCACCCGTGGTCCTGTCTGTATCTGATGTGTGTTAGTGGAGCCGTGTGTGCCTGGTTGTCACCCGTGGTCCTGTCTGTATCTGATGTGTGTTAGTGGAGCCGTGTGTGCCTGGTTGTCACCCGTGGTCCTGTCTGTATCTGATGTGTGTCAGTGGAGCCGTGTGTGCCTGGTTGTCACCCGTGGTCCTGTCTGTATCTGATGTGTGTTGGGGTGGAGCCGTGTGTGCCAGTTTGCTGTCTTTGCCAGGAAGGCCTGTGCCGCATCCCACTTTAGCTCTTGCCTTTCTGTATGGAATGTCAGCTGTGTTCTCGACAGCCCCCTGGGAAACAAACTCTGTGGCGGCCAGCGCCTTCCTAAGGGCCTGCTCCCCTCCCCTCCCTGTGTCTCGGTTCTCAGAACTGTTTTGAGCTCTACATCCCTGACAATAAAGACCAGGTGATCAAGGCCTGCAAGACAGAGGCCGACGGCCGCGTGGTGGAAGGGAACCACACCGTGTACCGGATCTCAGCCCCGACGCCCGAGGAGAAGGAGGAGTGGATCAAGTGCATCAAGTGAGTGCGCGCTGGGCCCAGGAGAGCGCTGCGGGGCCGTGGCTGTCAGGCGCCCAGGCTCTGTTCCCATGGCCGGGTTTGCTGCACCTGCCTCTTCCATACTCCAGGGAATCGTTTGCCCGGGGCCCAGGTGGCTTCCGGGGGCCTTTGTTTTGTGGGCATTACAGCATGTTTCGAGAGCACCCGCAAGCTGGGTTTCCCAAGTGCCATCCGAGACCCTGATGGGAACAGCGAGCCTGCAGGCCCAGGGCTGGCGCAGACTGAACTGTCTGTTCTCAGATTCGTGGTGACAGCCTGGGGGCGGGGAGCAACGTTTCACAGTTTGTTAAGGTTGTGAGGCCCCGTGTTCCCGTTTGTAGACAAGGAAGCTAAGGCCCGAGGGGTTGAGGCGCTTGGTGGGCGTCGCGTGACGGTGTCCACGTCAGGACGCGGCCCGCCGTGCACTGCGCTGCAGGAGGGCTGAGGGCCTGGAGAGGGAGACACTGTCTCAGGGTCCCTCAGCCGTGCTGTGGAGCTGCGTGTCCGCATCCCGGGGCTCAGAGATGCAGGCGCCCAGGTGCGAAGCCTCCGATCCCGCATGCAGATCGGCACCAGCGTTCCCACGCGAGTCCTCGGGAGCTCTTCCCGGGAGCGCGGCCTCCTCTCCCTGCCGGGCAGGTCTTCCACCAGGGCTGGCCAGTCCCCCCCACCGGGTCCCCTGACCCCCCAGCAGGGAGTCCTCTCCACGAGCTGTGCTGGCTTTGTCCACCCAGGCGCAGCCCCTCCCGCCTGCTCTCTGGTCCTTCTTGGTTTCATTTTTCCACGTTTGAACTCAAACGAGGACAGGGTTGTGGCCAAGGCTGAGAACTGCGGAAGTGGCTGGAGGGGGAGCCCATGAGGGGAGGGGTGGTGACTTGTTCCCACAAAGCCACGTGCTGGAGGGGGAGCCCATGAGGGGAGGGGTGGTGACTTGTTCCCACAAAGCCACCCTGGAGCCACGTGCTGGAGGGGGAGCCCATGAGGGGAGGGGTGGTGACTTGTTCCCACAAAGCCACCTTGGAGCCAGGCGCAGTGGGAGGAGACAGGAAGCAGGTGGGGAGGGTGGGCTTGGGCTGGCCGCCCTGCGTGGGGCCCTCGCGCAGGGGACTGGCCCCGCCCTCTCTGACCCTGCCCCTCTCTGACCCCGCCCCTCTCCTCCGACCCCGCCCCCTCTCCGACCCCGCCCCCTCTCTGACCCCGCCCCCGTGCGTCTTCCTGCAGAGCGGCCATCAGCAGGGACCCTTTCTACGAGATGCTGGCGGCGCGGAAGAAGAAGGTGTCCTCCACCAAAAGGCACTGAGCGCCGAGTGCAGGCCCCGGTGCTGCGGCGCGGCTGGCGGGAGGGGCGCGCGGGGCGAGTCGCTGCTGCTTCAGCTCTGCTCTTTCCTACGCGGAGGAGGGGTGGGGCGGGCCCCGGAGCGGGCCCTCCCTGGCCAGTCTGCCCAGCGGGCCTGACCGCAGAGCCCGGAGCCCCTGCACCCCGAACACACACCTCAGCGTGTTCTCACAGGAAGAGAAGCCACGGACGACAAACGCCCTTGTTTTTCCTGCTTTTTTTTTTTAAACACACAGCGCCGTTGAGGTCGCTCTGCGCTGTCCGAGGGGGCTCCCTGGGCCGACGCCTGGGCCCAGGGCAGGGCCGGGCTGCCTCGGCCGCTGGTGGCTTCTCGGGGAGCGTGCGGGGTGCGGCGGAGGGCGGGCGGCGCCTGCGCGGGGAGGGGGCGCCCCTAGGAATCCTAATCCCCAGATCCCGGGGGGCCGCAAAGCAGGAGCCAACACTGTGAGGGGGGGCCCGTCCCCGCCCGCTGGCCGCGTTTGGTGTCTTCCTCTCCCCCACTCCTGTCCTCGTTCTAGAGGGAGGAGTAGCGCTCACCCGATCCCCCAGGGATCAAAACCGGCCCTGACTGGACCACGCTGGGTGCATTTGGCGGTGGGCCCGGCAGAGGGGAGAGGGTGAGAAGGCCGGCCTTCCCGCCCCGCCCCGCGGGTGTGAAGGCAGCCGCGAATCTCAGGGACTCTCAGGGCAGCTCCCGCCCGCGGCCGGCGGCAGGCCTGTCCAGGGGGAGCAGGGGGCCGGCCGGCACGCCCCTCCGGGGGCCCAGGGCCGGGCGGCGCAGGGCGTGGTCTGCACGGGCCCAGCGTGCAGGCCCCTCTGCTGCCCTCAGGGCTGGTCAGCATGTCTGAAACCAGCTTTCGCAGGGGGGAGGTGGGCGGAGCGGGGCACGTCCGGCACCGCCGCGGGTGTCCTTGCTGGAGCGCCGAGCAGGGGTCCGGGCTGGGAGCCGGAGTGCGGCGGGGGCGGGCCGGCGGGGACCCTCGTGCACCGCCCCCAGCGTTGCTGCAGAGGGGACCTGGAGCAGGGTCAGTCTATTTATCAGAGGTGTAAATAATCCATGTATAGTTTTTCGCTTTTTAGATTATTTTGTATTTGTTTAAAAAAAAAGTTTGTCAAAATACAAAATATAAAGAAATGACTGGAAGTCGTTGACAGGGTTTTTAAAGAAATTATAATTATTCTGGTTGTTTTCATTGTTTTCGCCTTGTAAGCTAGCGCCAAGGAACCGCAGCAAATAAACTGACTGTGCCCAAAGCCCGCCGTGCTGTGTGTGGCCTCTGAGGACGGGCGGCCGCCGGGGCCGGGGCTCGGCCCGCCGGGGAGGGCCCGTGTTCTGAAGAGGAAACAGATGTCAACCCCCGCCGTTCCTGGAGACTGAGGTCTGCGTCTCAGAGTTGGCAGGTGCCCGCGCCTTGCCGGGACCCACAGGCCGGCGTCATGGAGCCCGAGAAGCCCTGGGGACCCAGCGCAGAGCAGGGAGGGCCGGCTGGGCCGGCCTGGGCCTGTGCCCGCAGTGTCTCACGTCACCCTGCTCAGGCCCCGGCCCTGCGCTGTCCTTGCCCAGACAGCCTCTCCCCTGCACTGGGACAAGGACCCTGTGAGGAGAGCCCCCTCCCTCCCTCTCTGCCCCCCCCCCCCCGCCGGCACCAGCCCTGCGGATTCCTTGTTGCCTCTCACCTCGGTGGAAGGCGCCCCCCTTCTCTGTGGGGTACCCCCTTCTCTGTGGGGTACCCCCGTCTTGTGCTTGTGTCCTGGCCTCCTTCCCGGCGGGTGTCTTGCCCTGCTACAGAGCCGCCTGAGGCAGCTCAGGCGCGCGGCAGAAGCCAGACCTGGCGTCCGAGCTCACTGTGCCGAGGCTAGGCAAGAGAAAGCAGCGAGGCCGGCGCGGGGGCGTAGCGGGTAGAGCCACCGCCTGCAGTGCCGGCATCCCACATGTGCACCGGTTCGAGTCCCGGCTGCTCCACTTCTGATCCAGCTCCCTGCCATGGCCTGGGGAAGCAGGAAAGATGGCCCAGGTCCTTGGGCCCCTGCACCCGTGTGGGAGACCTGGAGGAAGCTCCTGGCCCAGCTCAGGCCGTTGCAGCCATTTGGGGAGTGAAGCAGTAGATGGAAGACTCTCTCTCTCTCTCTCTCTCTCTCTCTCTCTCTCTCTCTCTCTCTGCCTCTCTCTCTCTGTAGCTCTGCCTTTCAAGTGAGTAAGTAAATCTTTAAAAAGAAAAAGAAGCAAAGTCATCCAAGTAGAAAGGGGAAGTCAGGGGACACGACCTCGTCCCTGTCTGGAAAGTCGAAGGGATCTCAGAGCGCTGCGCAGCCCTCACCGACGGGTCCGGCGGGACGCAGTCCGATACCGAAGTCGGTTTCTGTTTATGCCCTCGCGGTGAGCACCACTCCCCCAGCAGGGAAGCGACTGCTTCGAATAGCTTCGGAAAGTACTTAGCACGTTTGCTTGAAGCCTGAGGCTTGCACCTGACCACCGCAGACGTGATCGACAGGAGGGTAAAGCCTCGTGTTCGCAGATGGGGAGGGTGACGCTGTCCCCCCGATTGACCTACAGAGTCCACGCAGTCGCGCCCCAAACCCAGCCCACCCTAAATGTACACGGAAGCACGAGGGGCCAGGAGCAGCCAGTCTGGAAGAAGAGCCAGGCCGGGTGACAGACGCCTGTCCGTCCCGGAGCAGCCACTCGTCCAGCTGCGGCGCTGTCGCTGCAGGATCAGGCGCGCAGGTCGGCGGGGTAGCACTGAGCATCTAGGAGGGCACGGTGCTTACGGCCACGGGTCCTGGGTGACCCAGCGGCCCGAGGAAGTGCCATTTGCAACCAGCGCTGGGGTTCCAGAAGCCGCCCGCGGAGGAGCCGGGCCAAGCCTGACCTCACGTCATCCGTGAACGTTAGCCCAGAACGGGTCAAAGACCTGAACGGCGGAGCTGAAACAAAACTTGTAGGAGAAAACAGCTTGAATCCTGATGACCCTGGATTCGGTGGTGAGCGTTTGAGCTGTGGCCAGGGCTTTCAGGGTCCCGTTCTAGCAGGCCACCGCGATGTGACTTCTTCAGGGGGACAGTAGAAGGAGGCCATACGAATCGAGTTCCAGAACTCGTGTTCCGGGCCAGGGCGGAAGGTGCCCCGACCTCAGTCCCGCTCCCCGCACCTTCACGGCGCGGCTTTTCCTGACATTTGCCTTGCTCCCCGCCTTAGGCCTTAGTACACACTCGGGCGCATTGAGTCTGTTTGCTTCCTGCCCGCTGTGCGTCTCGCTCAGAGCCCTGCCTGCTGTTTCCACGGCCAACGTCAAACACGTAGTCAGCGACCAGACACCCTTACAGCACAGAGCCCAGCTCGACATTCAGGACCATTTACGGAACGCCCCTGTCCCTGGGCGGCTCGCTCATCTCCCCACACCTAACCTCCGGCACAGCCCTCGGAGGCCGGCTGACCGCCCCCGGGAAGCTGGGATCCGATCTGATCTGGATTCCAATCCAAATCCAGACCAGACCTGCAGGCTCTCCGGACTCGGAAGCCGCTTTCCCGGCATTCTGGCGTCTACCTGCTCACCTGTCCCCGGCTCCCCCCGGCACACCAGCCGAGAGCCGGATCGGAAGTGGAGCAGCTGGGACTCGAACTGGCACCCATTTGGGATGTCAGTGCTGCAGGTGGCGGCTTTACCTGCTGCACCAAAGCGCCGGCCCCTGGGTGCTTACTTTAGTGTCCTTAGGATGTTACACAGTTCTCTTGGGTCATTTTAGAAGGGTTGGGGGCAAATGTTTAGCCTGGCGGTGCGGACGCCCACACCTCGCAGCAGACCCCCGAGCTGGCTCCCCGCCTGCAGCTCAGCCTGCTGGGGCTGCGTTGTTTGTGCCCCGGGAGGATTTCTTGCGCCAGCATTCAGGTGGGTGGTCGTGTCAACCATGGCCCTCGCTGGTCCGCTCCGCGGGGGCAGGGCTTTCCGTCTGCCTCACCTCTGCGTCCCCAGCTCCTGGACACCCCTGGGCACAGCCCGAGCCCTGGGGACCCGCCTGGCAGATCCACGAACACATAGCGGGCCAGGGCCGGGCAGCTCTTTCATCAGAGCCCGTCTTTGGTGACGCGAGAAGGGCCTCGGGTGGGCGCACGGTGACCAGGACGCTTGTTCTCCCAAGTCCTTGAGATCTGGAAGGACGGGGAAAGGCACGAGGGAGCAGCAGGGGCCTGATTCTGCTGGCCGCACCCTCTAGTGCCCCCCAGCCCCTGGCATGCACCTGCTCCCAGAACGCCCCTCCCCGCGCCAGGCGGGGACCCGGGAGTCGCCAAAGGCGGGGCAGAGGTCCTCCTGTCGCAGAGCAGTTCTGAAAGCCAGTGTGGCAACGTCATTTCTACCCCTGCTTCAACCACCACGTCTTTCCTGGGCCAGCGGCCACGTCTCTGGTGCCGTGAGTAGGAAATCGCGGTCAGTGCCCACCGACTTGCAGCTGTGCGCTGGTGCCCCTGGCTCATCTCTCCAGGTGAAGCAGACCTGGGGGCTTCCTAGAGCTCATTGGCCCCGGCTCTCCGGGCGGCTCGGGGCAGCCAGGATCTGCACGCGCTCCCCCCACCCCTAGGCCCGGACACTGGGGCTGCTGCTTCCTGGGGTTTCCCACGTCGGCCTTTGCCAACCACCCCGGGTCACGTGGCGCCCAGGGCTCCTGACTTGTCCTTGGTGGCCCTGCCTGTGTTGTCATCTGTAGCGCCTGGGTGAAGACGCCGCCCCCAGCCCTATGCCGTTCACAAGAATGTCCCAGCCCTATGGAAATCTATTTCGAGATATTTCTTTATTATTTATTTATTTATTAACAGAGTTAGACAGAGAGAGAGACAGAGAGAAAGGTCTTCCTTCCGTTGGTTCACCCCCCAAATGGCTGCTACAGCCAGTGCTGTGCTGATCCGAAGCCAGGAGCCAGGTGCTTCTCCTGGTCTCCCATGGGGTGCAGGGCCCAAGCACTTGGGCCATCCTCCACTGCCTTCCCGGGCCACAGCAGAGAGCTGGCCTGGAAGGGGGGCAACCGGGACAGAATCCGGCGCCCCAACCGGGACTAGAACCCAGCACCCATATGGGATGCCGGCGCCGCAGGCGGAGGATTAACCAAAGTGAGCCGCGGCGCCGGCCCCGTTTCGAGATACTTTCGAAGTCGCACGAAGACTGCAGGAATAGTCCAGATGTGCCCTCTCGCCACGGCCCCGTCTCACCTGGCTGTTTCTGTTCCTGGCTCCGGCCCCCGCCGACTGCCGAGGGGCGGAACGGCAGCTCCCTCTGCCGCTGGCTCACGCTCGGGGTTGGGGGGTGGGGTGGGCTGAAGTGCTTTGTTGCCGATCTGCTCGAAGCAGCTTCGTGTAGACTTTTCCGCTCACTCCCGGCCCAGGGTCTTCGTTCCCCGCTTCGTCCGCAGATGCTGGCCAGGGGCTGCCCAGGGACTCGCGTGGCCGCGG